ATATTTTACCTGGTTTTTCCAACTCATAAATTGGAAATACTAATTAGGTCTTCTAGTCCTGGTAGGGCACCATTATTTTGTGTATAGTAACATTAAAATATACCATTAGTTGAAATGATTATTCTTTAAAGTTACCGTCTGATCTCATTCCTGGGTCTCTGTTTCCTAGTGCAAACCAGGGGAGTATTTTGGTCTCTAAGGGCAGTGGTAATGGGATGGATTGTGAGCCACTCCCCTTACTAGTTGTCACAGGGAATGCAAACTTCCCCGCGCTAGCCTTTTGATGTTCTGTAGACATAACCAGAGTACCAATTGTGATGGTCGTGGTCTAGCTCCTAGTAGATGGGCTATACTATAAAACCAACCATATTACCTGCAGCTGTTAGCTGGCAGTGAGTTCTGTTAACTATCAGACAGGACCAGTTCAGTCATCTAAACTTTAAAACCAGTCCAGGATTCCTCTGTGTTCATAAGGGTTTGATCATCAGGTTGGTGCTTAACAATAATAATTTTAACTATTGACCTAGAAGTGAAAGGTTCTATCTTACATATACATAGATGCTGAAAAGTAGTAATTTCTAGCATGTCTAAACATAAATGTCCAAATCTTAGGAAGAGAATGGGGCCTTGCTCAAGTACAATGCAGCTATGAAACATCTCTATAAAGTAAAACGTTGTAAACTGAGAGATTTTTCACATGCTCTGTCAGTAAGGCTGTTAAAACAAGCCCACTTGGAATCCCCTGATTTGCTGCTTCAGAGAATGTAAAGCTACCTAGGCTTGTGGGCAAGAAATGGAGCTTTTTTTTTTTTTAATTTGGAGATAATTTCATCTGAGGTGCAAGAGCAAGGTGTTGTAGCCTAAAGATACCCAGGTATTGCTATCTGTCTTCACAGACCCCACTTATATATCATTTTCTTTGTCTAACCTGGGGTTTTCTGTCTAATCACTGAACAACGCCTCCAGAGCCACATTCAAGGCTCCTAAATGGCTATCTAATCTGCTACTGCCTAAAGCAGTTGAAGTGGCCTGGGTTATAAAACTTCTCAAGCACCAGTATCTAAGAATTGAAAGTCAACTTCCAGGGGCTTTTTCACTAGATTGCCAGCAGCCAACCTGTTAAAAGGCTAAATGTGTTTATATGCATGTTTGATTATAATCTTAATAAATTATACTTAATAAATTTCTTCAGTGTGTATCAAATGAAAACACAGGAATATCTTTGGAAGGCATAGGCACATCCAGGATTTGCGTTTGGATAGTCAAACTGGCAGTGCTGAAAACTGGGCTCTTGCTCTCCAAACAGCTAATCTTTTTACAACTGGGCAGGTGTTTGGAATGTAATTCCCTTGTAGTGAGCTGACAGACCCCTGAGCAATCAGTCTTCAATATGTTCTCTTCCTTTTCTGCAGAGGATAAGTACAGCAAGTGGAGATGGCAGGCATTACTGCTACCCACATTTCACATGTGCAGTGGACACAGAAAACATCCGCAGAGTTTTCAACGATTGTCGAGACATCATTCAGAGAATGCATCTTCGCCAGTATGAACTCTTGTGATTGGGATCACCGTGGAGCCTGTGGTTTTAAATACTTAGCTCCTTATTCTCTTGCTCTCTCTCTTTATACTATGCCACACAGGGTGGAAGAAAATACTACAGAAATGTCAGTCTTTTCAGGTTGTTTACCTTAATTATTTAGCCTTTGAGCTGGTTTGCGGCAAGTTTGGGTTTCTTTTCCGCCATGCTTTTTGGGACTTTTTGTGTGCTTTATTTTGATATGCCACTTCTTTGTCATTCCACTAAGCCCTTTGGCTACCTCTGTTGCTTTAGAGGTGTGTTTTGTTTGTTTTTTGGGTTTTGTTTTTGCTAATTGAACATAACCTGCTAAATTTTTTCCAGCAGGTTATGTTAGTTCAAACTGGTATGTCAGCTGGATGACACTAAAGTCATACCTATCCTTGTGTGGGTCCCTTTTTTACCATGATATTAAGAGTACTTGATGGGTGAAAAAAGAATAATGCACTTTGTATCAGGTTACTAAATACTGTTGAGGAAGTATACACACAATGTAGCAGCACCACAATATTTATTACTCTGTCACAGTTTTTAGCATTACTGAGTTGCAGGTCAACTTATAAAGTGACCTCCTCTTTTAAGCCGTTACTGGCACAGGAAGTAGAGTAGATAATGAGAGGCATGGTGAAGATAAGCAATTTTTCTGGGGTTTTGGGGCTAAGTGCCTCTACACACCTCAGGCATTTGAATTACAGCTACTTTTTCAGCCTATTGCATCTAGGCAGAAAATTTACCACCCTCACTTATGTTATTTGTGCTGTCCACAAATGATCCGGTTAGTTTAGATCATTCTTGGACAACAGTCCTCTCCCTATATATATATTTTTTTTGTTTTACTGCTGGTTTATTATATTGTACAGACTGTAAAATGTAATATTATTTTGTACAACTTTATTGAAGAAAAATACTTGTAGAAGATCTTTGTGCCTTGATTATGGCTGTACCTGTAAAATGAGCTAAGATGTAAGTATGTTTTTGATTGCGCTGTACAGCTTGATGTCAACCTTACCTGCAGCAGTGACTGGAGGTAAGAACTTTATCTGTAGAGTTTAGGGATTTTTTTCTGGTTTATATAAAAACAATGCTCTTTAGTATGAAAAATATAAATTATGCAAATTAACCACTTACCTTTTCAAGTAAGGTATTACAGTCACCGGATGTTGCAGCAACATGCCTTTCTCTTTTGAAATCTCAGCTTTAAAACATTGGAATTCATTCAAGTGTCCAAATTGCAACCTGGTGTTGTTTTAATGGGAATCAAGGATTTTTTTTCCTTTAACTTTAGAAAATATGTTTAGTAATTCTTTGGTCATTCATAGTACATCACAATTGCACAGGCAGATTGTGAATGTGTAAAGCACCATTATATAGAGCTCGTCAATCTTTGTACCAACAGCAGCTTTCATTGTGCAAGTAAATAGCAAGAAGGGGGGGTGGGGGGAGAGGAGGTATAAACCCTTGTGTCTGGCCTAAGAGAATTACAAGATGACATTTTTATTTCTCTTTTAATAAAGAGACATTAGAAAATTGTTTTATTTTAAATATTGTAGAATCAAACTGTGTGAATATTTCTCAAACTTGAATAATTTATGCAAATGACATTCTCAAAACAAGTTGTGGTACAGTACAATATATAAAAGCAAGAATTGCTGTAGCAATAAGGCATGTCCTTTTTAGTAACTATAACACTGCTTTATATTTTATACATAGGTGTTTTATGTCTCTGTGAGTATATACTTTTCCTGTGTCCAAGATAACCTGTACAAATGTCTAAAATTACAGTTGCAATAACAGAAACCTAGAGAAGTGTTAGCCTACATTACTTCATAGATTGTTTAATCACTCCTTGGACTATCTCCATCCTTTGTTTTTAAATTTTAGGGACAAATTAAGATCTGAGTTGTTTTCAGGAACACACTATGAATCAGATTTTTATAATACAGCCATGATTTGTGTTGTTTATAAACCCAGTCCTCTGTTACTTAAAATTAAATTAGAGAAATTTTATTTTAAAATAGGATAATTTTAGAGACAGTACAGTATCTTTGTAAGATTATCCTTCCAAGTGAAATTGCTAGTAGGATGTATAGTCTTGATATTTCTATATTTGAAATGCAGTTATGTATTTCCTAGAAAGTGAAAGGCAGGGGTTAGCTAGTAATAGGTATAATTCCCTAAATCTACCACTGCCAGTTATGCATAGATTTCCACACCTTCCAAAATTACTTTAGAAACATGCAAAATTTACCTTTTAAAAAGTGGGAATGAATAAAAGAAAAAGTAGGCAAACCAAACCACCCCTGTAGGCTAAAAACCCCTGCCTCTGCAGGAGCACCAAAAGGAAAACTGGTTCCTGCTGTGGAATTTCCTTATGGTTTTTCTTGTAATTGCATTTGTCTATCCTGTCCCCACAAAGCAGCAGGGATTCTGGCTTCTAGATTTTTTGCAACCTAGCTACCCCGTTGGGAGGCTCTCTGCCGCTACACCAGCTCTGAGGATTGCTGTGGCTCCAATGGAGCTCTGCTGCTACAGCTTTCCCCTATGAAGCAATCCCCAAAACTCCATTAAAGTTGACATTACAGCTCAAAGCTGGCTCTGCATTAATATAACCAAATTTTGTTAACATTCTTTTGGAATCCTACAGGGGCTTAATATGCACCTGGTCCCCCATGTGGCTCCAGCATGAAGCAATGGGAAAATGTTCCTGCAGCAGTATCTGACCACCTTTGTTGGGGAAAACCTCTCCACGCTGACCTCGAGGGTGCAATAGGGCCCTGTAGTTTATCATAGCACATTTTCTTAAGAAGAGCAGCTTGAGAGGTTCCACCCCTAATTTCTGGAAGGTCTGAAGTGTTTTGGCAAGTAGACCCTGGAGGGGTGGAAAGATGGTCTGGCAAACAGGGGATTACAATCTCCAACTACTAACTAACACAGCAGGGATTTCTCCCAAACAACAGTTTTTTGCGTGTGACAGCTTAGAAATGCTAAGGAAATCCGCTGATGTATCTATCCCATTAGAAGAGCATGTAGCAATAAAACATACAGGGATGGTTCCAGCTTGAAAGACTATGCCTCCTCCCGGGTAGGACATACTAGTGCAGACAAGTGCTGAGGATGTAGGATTTACATAATGTACAGTTACAAACTTTTAGTATACATATTTGATACAAAAATTATAGCAACGAAATGGACTCATTTGATTGTAGAATACTGTATTTTTGTACAGCATGAAAACAGTTCATTTCAGTTAATTATTTATCCTGTAGTAGTCATATCAACTGTGTAGGATTTCTATGGTATGTGTAAATGTGACCTGCCTTCGGATTAACAATCCAGTGAGGTCATTTGCTGGCATGAATATAGTCTGATGTTTGACTGTTCTCAGCTTTGGTATTTCAGTAACTGAATGCAGATGTCTGGCTCTTCATACTGCTTTATGCTTCCTGATTAAGTGCTGAGCAAAATAAAAAGGTGGATTGAGAAGTTGAAGATGAGCTAGTATCAGTACCCCCAGTAGAGCCCCTGCTATACAGTATATAGTAACCACTCTGCTCTCAAGTGGAAGGAAACACTTGTAGAGGGAGAAGTTGGTTGGTGTTATGCTGCCCTGAAAAAGAAAGAAAAACCATCATGCTGTTGCTAAGAGGTTGGATATAGGTTTAGTGATTCTGCATCAAAAACAGCTAAGTTCTACAGTAGGTTGCGGAACCTGGACTAATATAGTACCAATGCCATGCAGTCAGTCCACTCCCTGTAGCACTGGAGACTAGACATGCCGCAGAGGTAAGGTGCATGGTTTGATAGCAACCACTTTAAGGAAAATCAAATAGGCAAAAGCACTTGATTGCATACCTAGCAGCTGGTAAAAGCAGGACTACTTAGCAAAAGAAACATGCCAACACTTAAATAAAATACATGGATTGAGACGGGACTGGGTGGTGTTGTCTATGGACTAAAGAGTGTAAACCAAAGAGCAATGAGATTTGAGTTTCTTTTTCCCATGCCACAAGATGCTGAAAAAGTAAACAAACCAATTTTAGGTTTTGCTATTTAAAACAGAACTTTTCAAAAACGTGAATGATTGTAAAACTGGTTGTTTTCTCCATAATAAAGAAGATACTGTTCATTGGAACTATCTGATGGAGCTTAACCAACATTCTAAGTGAAAATTAGAAAACATGTGAATTGAAACTAATGAGGCAGATTATCAGAAGACATACGAGAACTTGCCCTCTCTGAAGTGGTTAATGGGTGAGTCTGAAAGGCAAGAAAGCCATGTAGAAATCTGAGATAGATATGGTCTTATTTTCATAGTAGAGAAATCAGCCAAGCAAAACTAGCCTTTCTACTGTTCAGTGCGTGGTACTGATGATTTTTTTTTTTTTTTTTTTTACAAGTCAATAGTTTACCCTGCACCCTCTTTATAAGAAACGCCGTTACACATGCTTTTTACGAATATACAAAATAGACCTTTAACAGCACTTCCTTGTACCACACAACCTGTGTGGCTCCCCTGATGTGCTTTTTAAAGTGGATGCAGTGTATTAGGTAAATGTTGGGTTTTGAGGGAGAGCGGGTGTTCTGCCTTTTTAAACAAAACAAACAGGTAGCAGCAGTTCAATAAATAGCTGATTGCCATGTTGATTTATATTTATGAAAGTTACCTGACAAAAATAAAAATCTTTAAATTTACCATGATGAAACTAGGGTTGTTTCTGTTCCTCCAACTAAACGATGGGACACTGATTTCTGGAATCTTCCCATTATGCAACACTTCACATGCACTGTGGGTATGGCCACTCAGAATCAAACGGGGATGAAACCACCATAACAGCTATATTGGAAACAGTACAAAATTACAAACATGAAAGGTTAATTTGAATTTATGTTTAAAGTCATCACACAGTTTAATATCTAGTTTTGCTTCCAACGGGCTCTCCTTCCATATTTTTACTTGGGCTACTGTTTTTGCAGAGTATTTTGTGAAACCCTTGTGTCTTCCACTAATACAATATTCATATTTTAATATTAAATCACCCTATTTGACCTTTTACACAAAAACAGGGTGGTATTTTGTAACATTTTACTATAGTAGGTTAAATTCCTTATGAATCTGAACAACACTTAGTATCAAGTCTTTAGCAACACAAATGGAAAAGCTTGGTCTTAAATGAAGAGTAGCCCTGATTTGGAGGTGATCTGCCCTCAAACATTTCTGCTGTAGGAAAAAATCTGTTGCCCATTTAATTTATTGGGAATATTTTATCATCAGTAATTCAGTAAAAGTAGTATTTTTAGAGCCCTGGACAAGATCACTGACTTTTTCTATTAGTCCTACTAAAAATGGGTTACCCATATACTCTAAAACTTTACGTATAGTACAAAATGCTACACTGAGGATAAATGCTCTGCAGCAGACTGAGTGTCCCTGGATTTATCATGTGGAACCAAACAGAGAGCCCAGCAGGTCTATCAGCAGTCTCCCCCAGGCCTCACTAAACCAGGAGGAGCTGCGTGTTCAGCTTATCTCAGCTAGCATTTGCTTTTTCCAATATTATATACATAATTAAGGATTTCAGGAAGAGCTGTAAAGTTACTGTGATATTAAATAAAGTTGTTAAATTACCAAACCTTTTGTGAAGCCTCTCTAGAAAGTACATCATACTTTTCTTTAAATGGGATGTTCTTTTCCTCTGGAAGAGCAGAATCTTCCCCAGCACATTCAGCGTCATTTCTTCTGTAAAGAGGGTAATGCTGACAGGGATTCAGAGCAAGAGCCAGTTGTTAGTTAACGCAGCCTTTTATAAAATGGTGATAAATATGCTGAAATGGTGAAATCCTGCCCACCTAATCTCCAACACACCTGTAAAAGGATTGGTTCTGAAGCTGGAAGCTGTTCCACATCACTGCATCTTTTCTTGGAATGATTCTCTTCCTGCTAATAAAATCAAGCCAGACAAATGTAATCTTGTCTGTGCAGCACTAGCTCTGTATTTATTACTTGCTTGGAGGGCCAGGACAGAAATGCAAAGTTGAAGACCATGCAAGATATTTTCCTCAAAGAAACTAGTATTGCATAAGGATTATTGCAAAAAGTACTTGTTTACAATGTCTATCAGAGAAACTAATCATGAGGCCTTACAGAGTAAAATCAGAGGACAGAAATTAAGAAGTGTAGGTAAGAGAGAAAAGCTGTATGGTGGGATGATTTGAAGAGAGCTGGTGCTGTGTAGGAAGTCTGTTCCAAATGGCAGGTGATTCAGAGCACATCACACAGAGGTCAGATTCTGCAGGAATGGAACTAGGTGAACAGAAGCAAGTTCATGAAGTGTTTTAAAAATTAAGACTGACAATTTACAACTGGACTCTAATGAACAAGGAGATAGTGAAATTGTTCAAGGATGCCATGGATGCAATTACACTCTCTGTATATATCAGAAGGTGGCAGCAACACTTTACAGAACATGCTGAACCACAGAGAATTGGAGTGGCTGTAGAGAAGGCAAGAGGATATAAAAGCATGCTTGAAGAGTTCAGCAGTGGTGGGAATCAAATTAGTAGTATTCAGAGACAGTGCTGGACAGATAATGGCAACATGCAAGTCCGCAGATCCAGGACATAGGGATGAAAGGAAAATTCACAATCAAGGATGCAAAGGGTTCCATTAAGACAGGAAAGAGGAAATGGGGTGGTTTGATACTCTTTTTACTTAAATTTTATTGATGTAGTGGAAGGAAGTTCTCTTAAGGTAAATTCACAAATTAATTTGGTCAAGACAGGGAGGAGTGTTCAAAAAGAGTACATCTGAAAAGCAGCATGAGCGCTCAGGTTAGGAGGAGACATGACAGGCAAAAGGTAGATAGAAAAAGGCCCTGTCCATGTAAGAATAATACTTAGATCCCGAAGTGCTTTACAAATCAGAGTAACCATTAACAATTTTACAGATGGAGAAATTGAAATGAAGTGACTTGCAGGTCAGTGGCAAAGCGAGGAACAAAATCCAGGTCTCCAGACTGCCTATCCATTAGACCAGGGGTCAGCAACCTTTGAGAAGTGGCGTGCCAAGTCTTCATTAATTTAAGGTTTTGCGTGCCAGTAATACATTTTACATTTACAGGGGCGCCCCGACGGAACCCCAGGCAGGCAATGGACTGAGCGGGGCCAGCAGACGGAACCCCAGACTGGCGGTGGGCTGAGCGGCTCAGGGCGCTGCCGGTCTGGGGTTCTATCTGCCGCCCACGCTGCCAGTCTGGGGCCCCGGCTGCCAGCCTTGCTCAGCCCGCTGCCAGCCTGGGGTTCTGTCCATCCAGGCCAGCAGCGGGGCTGGTGGCCGGTACCCCAGCTGGCAGCAGAGTGCCACTAGAAATCAGCTCAGGTGCCGCAGGTTGCCAACCCCCGCATTAGACTATGCTGGCTCCCTTACAAGAGCAGAGATCAGTGTATGTGGCAGAGAAAAGGGCTACAGGATTTTGCTGGCAGAGATCATGGAGAGATAACAGGCCAGACAAGATTACAGGAGGTGAAAGACCGGGGCAGGAAGTCAGCAACATGCACACTGAAATCCACCGTGAATATGGAGGTAAGAATGATCAAGGAGACAAGGCTCCAAGCACTATGAGAGGAAAGACAAAACACAAACTAGAGACTGAGATTTTTCAGTGTAGAAGAATCTGACTTCCAGCCTGATTGTAACGGCAACACCAACTCTGCCGTTACAGTGAATGGACTATTGGACTCTTACCTGTTGAGAGCAATTCAGTTTATGAGAAAGCTTCATGAGCTTTGCTTCTGCTCTGCTGCAGATAGTGCACCCATCACCTTCCAGGGCAACACTGTTCACCATGACAAAACTGGGGGAGAACAGAGAGGGAATGGGGGAAAGACAACTGTTAGGTCTCCAGACACTCGTGGTGAGAGATGAAGCCCTTCTATTTAGGAAAAAAAAAAAAGCGAACGTTCATAAGTCAGATACAAAACTCAAAGCATATCAACTAAATTCAATAATGACTGGGTCTGGGCCACACTCTAGACCAGGGGCTCTCAAACTTCATTGCACTATCACCCCCTTCATGGCCCCACGAGCAGGGACTGAAGCCTGAGCCCACCCGAGCCCCACTGCTCTGGGCAGGGGGGCCAAAGCTGAAGCTCAAGGGCTTCAGCCCCAGGCAGAGGGCCTGCAACCTGAGCCCCGCCACCCAGGGCTGAAGCCCTCAGACTTCGGCTTCGGCCCCGGGTGGTGGGGCTTGGGCTTCAGCCCTGGGCCCCAGCAAGTCTAAGCCAGCCCTGGCAACCCTGTTCACTTTGAGATCCCAACCCACAGTTTGAGAATCGCTGCACTAGACGCATCTCTTACATACTGATACTGCATGTTACCACAGCTTTCCACGATCACCTGTTTTATTGTTAGACACTAACTAGTCAGTTGGGTTGCACAGCAAAGTTTAGGTGCTGTGACTAATCCAATATCCACACAATTTGTGAGGTACTGTTTAAAATTATATCCTCTTGCAGTGCAGTAATCCATAACATTGAAATCTGAAGGTGAGAAGCTGCATTGGCACTTGTAGCTCAGAAGCCAGAGAGGTTTTGTGAGCAATGTTAAAGCAAAGCTATACTGCATTTGGCAGCCTCTGCCCAGGGAAATGAAGCTGGACCTTGTCTACAGGTTGCCAGCAAAGTGCACCAATGGGGTGAGATTTGTAAAACACTCTAACATGCTGCGCTCCAGCCACCTTGCTGGCATGCTCTAAAAAGTACCTTGTTCACATTCTATATTGACATGAACTAGGTGCCCTGTAGAGTGTGCAAGAAGCATCTTTGCCGGGCAGTTAGAGCACAACATACATCCTTCTGGCACTGTGTAGGCAAGCCCTTAGTCTGATTCACACCTAAAGATAGCTCTCTCTTATCCATGGGGTCTCTGGCAAAGCAGGGTAGGGAAGCTTTCACTATACTTACCTAACTCTGTCTTCGTTACAGCTTTTAAATAAACTCTGAATTTTTCTTGCTGCTAGGCTCTTCCCTGTCACAAGTATAAATAGGCACTTATTTTTCTATTAGAAGAACAGCCTGCTAGCTGATGGAGAAGAGACATAGTCACAACTCAGCATGCAGGAGGAGGGAACAGTGGTGTGCTTATACTCAAAAGTGAGCTAGATTTTATCATGGAAGGGTTGCTGGTAAAAAGCAGATCTTAAATTGCAGGCAGCATTTTCCACTAAATAGCTACTTCTTGCATTAGTGCTCTAGAACACATTTACCAAGCGCTATTAACAATGAAAACTCATTTCAACGAGCAGGTGGTCAATTGGGTACTGTACACACAGGCTGGAGTAAGGAGAGGATGTTAGGCCCTGTTTAAGCACTATTTTTAAAATGTTAGCTGAAATGTGTGTTTGGGGTCCCAGACTTGAGTAATATAGGGTTGTATTAAACTGGGGTCTATTTTCCCCATAAGCCTGCATGAAGCACACTTTCTTTCTTTCATGGGTGATATAGCACTTCCAGCCTGTTTAGAATACTTGCTTAATGTTTAAAAAAATTAAGTGATACAGTTGTAGCCTTTATTTCCTACATTCTTGTGAATTATTTAGTCTGACCATATACACATCGATGTATTTCCCTTCACTTTATCTGACAAAAAAAATTCTGATAAGATGTCTTTCAGTGGATCCAGTGCTCTTCTCCCACTGCACTTCCTTACACAGGATGTACACCCAGAACAAAGGAACACGCTAAGCAAATACAGAAATATTTACTGGGCTATCAACAGTTTCTCTAACCAATTGATAAAACTAAAGGAAGGAACAAGCTTGGCAATACGATGACAGACACATTGTGGGCCGAGCTCTGCTGAGGTGATTAGTCAAGATCACTCGTGAATAAGAGTTGCAGGACCAGGTGCTATGTTACTATGTTCCATAAATAAGGCATGAGTTTCAGGAACTGAAGAAGCGAGGACATTTCACTCGTGTTAAATTTTAATACTTAAATGTTGAGCATTTCACTCAACCACTTTCCTCATTTAAGATTGGCAGCCAGTGGTCACCGTAAGTGGTTGGAAGCAAAAGAACACAAACCCAACAAGTCTGTTCTTGTGCTCCAGAGCACATATGACTGCCATTAAATCCTCTGAATTGTTTTCTTTCCACTGAAGAGTTGCAAAGTCATTTTGCTCAAAACAGCTCCCTTTACAGCAGGGGTCACCAACTAGTTGATCGCAATCGACTGGTCGATCCTGGAGCCTCTGCCAGTTGATCACTATCTCCAGCCACTAAAATCATGGCGGGGCTCAGGCTCCTGGGGGCAGGGGTGAGGGAAGGAAGCTCTGCACACTGCCCCCGCCCCCAGCATCGTCCCTGCAGCTCCTATTGGCCGGGCACAGGCAGTGCACGGAGACTCACTGTCCCTCATCGTCCCTAGGGGCTGCAGAGATGTGCCACTTCCAGGAGCAGCATGGGGCCGGGGCAGGCGGGTGGGCAGGCAGCATTCCTGAGCCCCGCCACGCTGCCAACCAGGAGCAGGTCTGTGGTAAGCACCTCCTGGCCGAAGCCTGCACCATCTTCCGCATCCTAACACTCTGCCCCAGCCCAGAGCTCCTTCCTGCACCAAACTCCCTCCCAGAGCCCGCACCCTCTCCTGCACCCCAACCCCCTCCCCAGGCTCAGCCAGAAGCCCCCTCCCATATTCCAAACCCCTTGGCCTCAGCCCAGAGCCTTCATCCCCTCCCGCATCCCCACCTCCTGCCCCAGAAAGTGAGTGAGGGTGGGGGAGAGCGAGCAAAAGGGGGAGGGGCAGATCCTGGGTTGATCTTAAATTCAAAAAGTGATCTTGTGCATAAAAACGTTGGAGACCACAGCTTTATAGTATTTATAAACCAGTTTCTTGGGGAGTAAACAATGTTTTATGTTTAACAAATCTTCATGAAAACACGCTACAATGGGTTCAGGAAAATAAAAGTTTAAACAAAACAATGAAAAAGCTCAAAATGTTGGAAAAAATTATACTCACTTTACCCCTTTCCGGGTTATTAGCTTTCCGGAGGTGAAGTTGAAAACTTTTGCAAACCGTTTTAACTTGTAAGCGGTCATTCTGTGTTTAAAAGATAAGAGTAGTAGGATGCTCAGAAACTTGCCATTACAAGTCATTTTATATAGTTGTGTTACAGATTTAAAAGGCAACTCCCAAACAGGTACTGCTCCATGATCCAGCTTACACCTTAAAACTGAGATTCTCTATGGGATCGATACAGCCTCTCTCAAGTCTACTCTGGCCCCAAAGCAAGCATGACCAAGCCAGGGAGGATAGCCCCCAATACAAGCACAGCGTGAAATACAACAGATGCAAATCACCCTCTCTGATGCTGAGAGAGTAGGGAATGGGGCAGAATACCTCCCAATACCTTGGGTCACTGCAGCACAGCATGAGTTATAGCAGCAGCTTGACCATGATGTGACCTTGAAGCCACCTTTACAGAGCACTCCTAACTCTCACTCTGTGCACATGAGCTACACCCAAGGTCTGGCTCTAAAAATGTAACCCAGCCCATCTTAACTGACGCTTGAAGACAAAAGCCTAGATAATAAAAAAACTGATTCACATGGAAGCCAACAGTTACTCAGGACTGTGAATTAGTGGTGAGTCAGTGGATTAGGGCACCTGCAGGAGATACTCCCACAAAGAGCCAAGCAGCCACTCCTTGCATACAATTTTCAGGGCTGGTCATGCAGGCAGAGCTCAAGTGAGAGCCTCTGGGACTGAGAAAAACAGATCTGCCCTTGCCACTGAGCCCTGCCTTCATGTATGGATTGGCGCTCTCTCAGTGGTAGCAGAGAGAGGGTTCTGGGACAGCAGGACACAGAGAAAGATGTAGGGGAGGGAAGGAGTCAGGAAAAAGCTACTGTTGAGTCTGGGGCCCAATCGCATTACACCCAACTCAGCTCCAGCAGCAGCAGCTTTTCTCCAACTACTCACAAACCCATTACCAGGTCAGTGCTTGAGACTCGGCAGCCGCTCCTCCCAGGAGAGCGTGGGGGCAGGAGTCAGAGAACCGGTGCTGCCGGGTCCAGGGCAGACAAATCCAAGGCGAACTTATTTGTGCCAATTATTGGATAATCGATCTATTAATGTAGCTGATCAAAGTTATGCAGACAAAGTCTGATTTAAAAATTATTTTTGAAATGCTTTCAATGTGAATTGATTATTTAAAAAAATAAGGACTGTTTTTATAATTACTGCACTGAGATACAGAAAGCTCTGCGTGGGGTTTTGCAGTAATTAGCAAGGTAGGAGATGCTGTAAAGACATTCGTACATGTAAAGATCTTTCAGCTCACATAAATCCTTAATAGGAGGACTTGATACATAAAAGCACTTTGTGTTTCTTGGATGTTCATTTTCATAGACCTCATCCAGCAGGAGAGAAAGTAAGACAGTAATAGGAAATGGATGGCAGTTGCCCTATCTTAGGAGCTGAGGGAGGGGAAGTGGAAGCTCCATCTGAGCAGCCAGAGAGAAGCGTGTATTAAACATTGACTCTTCAACCTAAAATTCTCACACACACATTGGCAGAGGAATAGAGAGGCGTTAAAGTCAAAAGTCAGACTAAAAACCAACATTTGACTTTGGGGCCAATCTCTTGAGGCTGGCAATACTGAGTTACTGTTTACATTCTGACATTTCATACCTGACAGCGTACTGAATTTTTCTGAAATACTTACTCATAGTGAAAACCAATGTCATGGTTGCCAACAACAACCATTAGCTCAGTGCAAACTGGATGCCGGAACATTTTCTGAAACCGCCTGACATCATCTGCCCAGGCCTGCAGGAAAATTGTAAAAACTGCTGATGTGGAAGAGAACTATGAAAGGACTTAACAGTAGGCTGCCACTTTGAGATTTTCATGTTTTATGTGTTTGGGCTAGGGAGAGGAGAAAGAAGCTATTGGAAAAATCAAATCCAGGGAGAATCACCAAATTTCAGTTTGTAGTCAAGCCACTGGAAACTACCACTGCCAAGATGAGAGCAGCATCCACTGTATAGTCTCTAGGAATGGAATATGGACGATATTAAAATTGCTATTAGTGTCATTAATATTGCAACAACAATTATTAGCTGGCTTTAGAATACGTGACACAAATAGAACTTTCTGACCAGCTATCAGGAAGGTCAGAGCCCCAAACACGAATACCCAGTAATGCACAGGCCTGACTGATTCCCTTGTTTATATTTGCAAAATTAATTTGCCAACAGCTTTAATACACTAGGCAATGCACTTCTTTGGGTTTCAGAAGGCCAATAATGCCTTTTAAAGTAAAATGTTAGTCATTTGCCATTTTAAAGTTTGAACTGTTGGCCACTCATGCTAGTAGCCTGTCAGTGTTTACACCTAGCATCATAGCGGTGGCCACAAACATTTATAAATGTTACCTCTTTTCCATACACTCCTAAAAGCAGGGGATTAAGTAGATTTCTCCTTTTCACAGCTTTAGTACCTCATAAGCATGAAGAGGATCACATTTAACTCGTATCTCCCCAGACATGCACATTCTTGGCGCACAGCCTGCCTCCTCTTAACCTTGCACTCAAGTGTAAGAGAGTAGGAGTGTAGGGTGCTGGAGTCCAACTCAATGCAAAAGACTACGCCTACTGCCTGATCTTATTTGTGCCCACACATACCCTCCACTCACACTGGAGTGCAACTGCCTTGCAGTGACTGCACTAGAAAGGAGTGTCATGGCCTACAAATCTGCAATACATCAATTGTGGAAGACGAAAATCAAATAAAGCCTGGCTTGCTCTGCATGCCATTTATTTCCAGGAAACCCCATTTCTTTTAAAACAGTACAGCATTTTAGGACACTAAAAACCAGTAGATGGGGACCTTTTACCTGGGAGAAGCTCCACTTTCCTTCATCAAAGACGTCTCCTAGTATGAAAACAATATCTGGCACCAGTAATGACAAGGCAGTTTGGAAGGCTCTCTCCATTTGCCATTCCCTAAGAAACAAGAAGCATCAAATCAATAGACTCTCTTAACTGCCTGATCCTTTATTCTGATTAAACAAGGTCTTGCCTGACAGAAAAGTGAAGCAGCCGCTCAAAGACTGAAAGAGCTACTCTGAAACACCAGCTCCTGGGCTACCTCCCTGCTCTCCCTCCATCCCCCCCAACATAAACCATGATCAGCACCAGCTCATGGGACATCATACATAAAGTGCTGATACTAACCTTTTATCACAAGTTAATGGGTTATTTTCAAAGCATGTAAAAACTGATCAGTTGCAAGTATGTTGAATAATCGCACACACTTGACCGAAAGCATCTGTTCCTGCAGCAAAAGGTTTTGATTGCTCAGAACAAACCCCCAGGCTGGATATTGAAACATCATTACAAATCATCTAACCAATGACACAAATTAGACCTCCAGATAAAACAATTTATAATGAGTAAGTTACTATACTGCTATTTGCTAGATATGGGTAACAAATTTCCATATCGATAAAACATTATAATGAATTGTGTCAAAAGGGTAGTTGATAGAGCTGACGCTAGCGTGCATAAGTAAGACAGCAACTTTGCTATACAAGGTCAAGCCACTGTTTTGAGTCCCGTGGGGATGAGTCTTCCTTTAGTAAATTTCATCCTGCAGTGATCTGAGCAAGGTTTCTGCTGGGACACAGAATAAGCCAGATTCTGCTCTGATTAAACGTAAAACCAGTGAATTTGGCAGAAATATTGTAGACTTACACTACTATATCATGTGACCCCGTCCCATACTGATAGGTAGTAACTACCTATATTTAGTAGTTCCTATTAGTAATAGCTTTTTCTCTAGGTTGAGCACATAACTGAAAATGTTATAAGATGTCTTAATGTCACATGAAATTTTCCAATGCTGAAGTAGAAAAAATAAGGAAGTCTTTTTCAGTTCATCTAATGGACAATGCAAGGTCACATAGGAAGGGACACTATATCTAAAAGCATTCACTGTTTCTCTCTCTCTCAGCCCTGGTCTACATTAGGACTTTAGGTCAAATTTAGCAGCGTTAAATCGATGTAAACCTGCACCGGTCCGGGAGCTATCCCAGAGTGCTCCATTATGACCGCTCTGGACAGCACTCTCAACTCAGATGCACTGGCCAGGTAGACAGGAAAAGAACCGACAACTTTTGAATCTCATTTCCTGTTTGGCCAGCGTGGCAAGCTGCAGGTGACCATGCAGAGCTCATCAGCACAGGTGACCATGATGGAGTCCCAGAATCGCAAAAGAGTTCCAGCATGGACCGAACGGGAGGTACGGGATCTGATCGCTGTTTGGGGAGAGGAATCCGTGCTATCAGAACTCCGTTCCAGTTTTCGAAATGCCAAAACCTTTGTCAAAATCTCCCAGGGCATGAAGGACAGAGGCCATAACAGGGACCCGAAGCAGTGCCGCGTAAAACTGAAGGAGCTGAGGCAAGCCTACCAGAAAACCAGAGAGGCGAACAGCCGCTCTGGGTCAGAGCCCCAAACATGCCGCTTCTATGATGAGCTGCGTGCCATTTTAGGGGGTTCAGCCACCACTACCCCAGCCGTGTTGTTTGACTCCTTCAATGGAGATGGAGGCAATACGGAAGCAGGTTTTGGGGACGAAGAAGATGATGAGGAGGAGGAGGTTGTAGATCGCTCACAGCAAGCAAGCGGAGAAACTGGTTTTCCCGACAGCCAGGAACTGTTTCTCACCCTAGACCTGGAGCCAGTACCCCCCGAACCCACCCAAGGCTGCCTCCTAGACCCAGCAGGCGGAGAAGGGACCTCTGGTGAGTGTACCTTTTAAAATACTATACATGGTTTAAAAGCAAGCATGTGAAAGGATTACTTTGCCCTGGCATTTGCGGTTCTCCTAGATGTAGTCCTAAAGCCTTTGCAAAAGGTTTCTGGGGAGGGCAGCCTTATTGCGTCCTTCATGGTAGGACACTTTACCACTCCAGGCCAGTAACACGTACTCGGGAATCATTGTAGAACAAAGCATTGCAGTGTATGTTTGCTGGCATTCAAACAACATCCGTTCTTTATCTCTCTGTGTTATCCTCAGGAGAGTGAGATATAATTCATGGTCACCTGGTTGAAATAGAGTGCTTTTCTTCAGGGGACACTCAGAGGAGCCCATTCCTGCTGGGCTGTTTGCCTGTGGCTAAACAGAAATGTTCCCCGCTGTTAGCCACAGGGAGGGGGGAAGGTTGAGGGGGTAGTCACGCGGTGGGAGGAGGCAAAATGCGACCTTGTAACGAAAGCACATGTGCTATGTATGTAATGTTAACAGCAAGGTTTACCCTGAAAGAGTGTAGTCACTGTTTTATAAAATGTGTCTTTTTAAATACCGCTGTCCCTTTTTTTTTCTCCACCAGCTGCATGTGTTTCAATGATCACAGGATCTTCTCCTTCCCAGAGGCTAGTGAAGCTTAGAAAGAAAAAAAAACGCACTCGCGATGAAATGTTCTCTGAGCTCATGCTGTCCTCCCACACTGACAGAGCACAGACGAATGCGTGGAGGCAAATAATGTCAGAGTGCAGGAAAGCACAAAATGACCGGGAGGAGAGGTGGCGGGCTGAAGAGAGTAAGTGGCGGGCTGAAGACAGGGCTGAAGCTCAAATGTGGTGGCAGCATGATGAGAGGAGGCAGGATTCAATGCTGAGGCTGCTGTAGGACCAAACCAGTATGCTCCAGTGTATGGTTGAGCTGCAGCAAAGGCAGCTGGAGCACAGACTGCCACTGCAGCCCCTCTGTAACCAACCGCCCTCCTCCCCAAGTTCCATAGCCTCCACACCCAGACGCCCAAGAACGCGGTGGGGGGGCCTCCGGCCAACCAGCCACTCCACCACAGAGGATTGCCCAAAAAAAAAGAAGGCTGTCATTCAATAAATTTTAAAGTTGTAAACTTTTAAAGTGCTGTGCGGCATTTTCCTTCCCTCCTCCACCACCCCTCCTGGGCTACCTTGGTAGTCATCCCCCTATTTGTGTGATGAATGAATAAAGAATGCATGAATGTGAAGCAACAATGACTTTATTGCCTCTGCAAGCGGTGATTGAAGGGAGGAGGGGCAGGTGGTTAGCTTACAGGGATGTAGAGTGAACCAAGGGGCGGGGGGTTTCATCAAGGAGAAACAAACAGAACTTTCACACCGTAGCCTGGCCAGTCATGAAACTGGTTTTCAAAGCTTCTCTGATGCGTACCGCGCCCTCCTGTGCTCTTCTAACCGCCCTGGTGTCTGGCTGCGCGTAACCAGCAGCCAGGCAATTTGCCTCAACCTCCCACCCCGCCATAAACGTCTCCCCCTTACTCTCACAGATATTGTGGAGCACACAGCAAGCAGTAATAACAGTGGGAATATTGGTTTCGCTGAGGTCTAAGCGAGTCAGTAAACTGCGCCAGCGCGCCTTTAAACGTCCAAATGCACATTCTACCACCATTCTGCACTTGCTCAGCCTGTAGTTGAACAGCTCCTGACTACTGTCCAGGCTGCCTGTGTACGGCTTCATGAGCCATGGCATTAAGAGGTAGGCTGGGTCCCCAAGGATACATATAGGCATTTCAACATCCCCAACAGTTATTTTCTGGTCTGGGAATAAAGTCCCTTCCTGCAGCTTTTGAAACAGACCAGAGTTCCTGAAGATGCGAGCATCATGCACCTTTCCCAGCCATCCCACGTTGATGTTGGTGAAACGTCCCTTGTGATCCACCAGAGCTTGCAGCACTATCGAAAAGTACCCCTTGCGGTTTATGTACTCGGCGGCTTGGTGCTCCGGTGCCAAGATAGGGATATGGGTTCCGTCTACGGCCCCACCACAGTTAGGGAATCCCATTGCAGCAAAGCCATCCACTATGACCTGCACATTTCCCAGGGTCACTACCCTTGATATCAGCAGATCTTTGATTGCGTGGGCTACTTGCATCACAGCAGCCCCCACAGTAGATTTGCCCACTCCAAATTGATTCCCAACTGACCGGTAGCTGTCTGGCGTTGCAAGCTTCCACAGGGCTATCGCCACTCGCTTCTCAACTGTGAGGGCTGCTCTCATCTTGGTATTCATGCGCCTCAGGGCAGGGAAAGCAAGTCACAAAGTTCCATGAAAGTGCCCTTACGCATGCGAAAGTTTCGCAGCCACTGGGAATCGTCCCAGACCTGCAACACTATGTGGTCCCACCAGTCTGTGCTTGTTTCCCGAGCCCAGAATCGGCGTTCCACAGCATGAACCTGCCCCATTAGCACCATGATGCATGCATTGGCAGGGCCCATGCTTTCAGAGAAATCTGTGTCCATGTCCTGATCACTCACGTGACCGCGCTGACGTCGCCTCCTCGCCCGGTATCGCTTTGCCAGGTTCTGGTGCTGCATATACTGCTGGATGATGCGTGTGGTGTTTAATGTGCTCCTAATTGCCAAAGTGAGCTGAGCGGCCTCCATGCTTGCCTTGGTATGGCGTCCGCACAGAAAAAAGGCGCGGAACGATTGTCTGCCGTTGCTCTGACGGAGGGAGGGGCGACTGACGACACGGCTTACAGGGTTGGCTTCAGGGAGCTAAAATCAACGAAGGGGGTGGCTTTACATCAAGGAGTATTTCAGGCAGGACTTCACGGAGGGTTCCAATAAGAAATGGTGCACCTAAGTTATCGTTCTTATTGGAACAAGGAGGTTAGCCTGGCCTCTGATTGATACATGGCTAGATTTACCTCGCTGCACCTTCTCTGTGAGTGACTGCAGTGTGACCTAGAGGAATGAGTCCCCTAGACAGGGGAGGAGGCAAATGAGTACAAAACAAATCTGGTCTATTTCTTGTTTTGACCCACTCCATCTATCTTTTACATCTTTGGCTGGCAGCAGACGGTGCAGAAGGACTGCATGCCATCCACATCTCATGGCTGCTCGGCAGAAGATGGTACAGTACGACTGCTAGCCATCCTCATCTCTTGCCTGCCTGGCAGAAGATGGTACAGTACGACTGCTAGCAGTCCGTATCGCCTGCCCGCTCACCATAAGACGGTTCAATGGGACTGACTGCAGGACTAAAGAGAATGACCTGGTCAAGTCACTCCAAATTTAGTCCCTGCGCCCATGTCTGCCCAGGCGCTCCCAGCCGACGTGGCCAGGAGCACCTCGGACACGACCAGGACGACTACCAGTCGTATTGCACCGTCTGCTGCCAGAAGGCAATGGGTTGCTGCTACTGTGTAGCAAAGCCGTACCGCGTCTGCCAGCACCCAGGAGACATAGGGTGACGGTTACCTGAGCGGGCTCCATGCTTGCCATGGTATGGCGTCTGCACAGGTAACTCAGGAAAAAAGGCGCGAAACGATTGTCTGCCCTTGCTTTCACGGAGGGAGGGAGGGAACGGGGGCCTGACGATATGTACCCAGAACCACCCGCGACAATGTTTTAGCCCTATCAGGCATTGGGATCTCAACCCAGAATTCCAATGGGCAGTGGAGACTGCGGGAACTGTGGGATAGCTACCCACAGTGCAACGCTCCGGAAGTCGACTCTAGCCTCGGTACTGTGGAAGCGCTCCGCCGAGTTAATGCACTTAATACACTTAGAGCATTTTCTGTGGGGACACACACACTCGAATATATAAAACCGATTTCTAAAAAACCGACTTCTATAAATTCGACCTTATTCCGTAGTGTAGACATACCCTCAGGAGGGTGGAGCCAGGGCGACTCCCACCTCACTCACTCCACTCTATTATCAGGACTTGAGCTCACTCTCCCCAACTCTTCCTTTAAGTACATTTATAGTTATTAAAAGATAAAAGAATGTTCAGTAGAGATTTAATTTGATGCCACTCAGTCACATAGCTCCTGCCATGGAAAAATAGATACTTTCCTTCAAAGTTCTGCTTCTCTGTGGATTACAAGAGGTAAGCAATGTGGTGTAGTGGATTAGGCACGGATTGGGAGAGTTTGATTTTAATCCTAGTCCTGGCCCTGACACTGGCTCAGTGTGACACTGGACAAATTACTATCAGTTCCCCCACCCCCGTAAATGGGGATACTATTACTAACAGTGGAGATTAACTACTTCATTTTTGTAAAGCACTGTATAATTTATAAGTATTATTATAAACTGCAAAGGATTCTTTGAGACAGACAATGTACTCAGAAGCTTATGGCAGCACAATACACCAGCAACACTAGCCTTGGTCTGTCAGAGACTGCACTGATTAAACACAGTCTAATTCACTAACCCTCCATTATTCTCTTCCCCCGTAATTTAGATAAGCAAGTAAGAAGCCAGACTGGCTACTTGCCACAAATGCCACTACATTTACTACTGCTTATACATGGCTCTGATAAAGGCTTTAAAAATTGGTTACAACATGTTCCCTAAATTCAGTTCTTACCTTCTTAATTTGTCTAGCCAATGCCCTTTGATTTCGCCAAGCAGGTGGGTATCAGATAAAAACATGGCCTTCAAGACAGAAGCCGAAGACTGTTTGCTGCTCCTGTGAGCTTCTATTTTAACTTCTGGCCAATGACACTGAAATATCACCACATAATAAATTAAGAATTCACAAAAGATTAACACCAAGGCAACCAGACACAAAAGCTTCAGCAGAAAACAGCCTCTCTTCTTCAAGTGAAGAATCTTCATAATGCCCAAGTTGGATCTCATCGTTGCCATGTCAGCCTATAGAAGTTATTCTCCGGGGTCAAAGCACCCTCCTTCGTACAACAGAAAATGGTGGGGTCCAATCAGAGGTTCATATGGTCTCCACATCAGTACAGAATCCCTGCAGAAGCAATATAAAAAAAGATATCTACAAGCCCAGTGTTCCAGTCATTAATAATCAAGTACAGCTCATTTACAGGATGAAAAGTCACAACCCAATTCCTATTAAATTACTACCAGTATTCTGAAAGCCTTGGAGCCCTGTAACTAAAAACAAGAATCACAAAGGCAAAGTTGTTTTCCCAGACAAAGGAATCAGATTATTCCCAAGGAAATCTGAAAATCCATCCTGGTCTTTATGACAAGCTCAGGCTACTCAAACCACACTACTCCTTCCCCCAATCCTCTAATTGTAAATTGGTTCTGAAGAAGAATAGGTGTGTGTCTAAGACAATAGAGGACTAGGAGCCACAGCTTCTGGCTCTACCACAGGAAAAATTTCACTTAAAGTCTCTTTGCCTCAGTAACATACTTCTCTACCTCACAGAGCGCTCCAAAGCTAAATTCATTATAAAATTATTGAGATCTTAAGATGCAAGATTCTATAGAAATAAAAAATAGTAAAATAAAGTGAACCAGTTATTTGCTTGTTACTCTCCAGTACTGAGTTTGGCATAGCACTCTTCTACACAAATCTCTAACTGCCCACAGTTGTATGTTATATTTCTAATACGGTTTTATTGTTTGTAGTGTGAATGGGACAACATAGTTATAAAACCACATTATGCAACTGGGTTACAGCCTAGGTCATGACATTTTTCCCTAACACCATCCTGTAGCTAAGCTGCCACATGGGCACAGCAAACCAAAGAAAGGGCTAGAACACATATTCTACTATCTGAGTCAGACAACTGTGCACTTCCAGTTAGCGGGGCCCAAAGAGAGTGCTTATATTGCTCTGAGTCACTCAACACTGAAACTAGTTCATGGGCTAGAAGAGGAGAATGGTCCCAGTGTAGTGAAGCAAGTTAGCATACCTGTAATCAAGAGGAGAATTTGGTCCATTTTATTTAACCTTTGCTAGAATAGGCCTAAAAAACGAAAATCAGGGAAAGGAAATTTGTCCAGCAAGTGTCCTTTAATTTCACCATGCAAGTGGCTACTTTGTTTTGAAGAGGCTATTCAGTCACTGCACTTTCATACTGGTCACAGGCTCCCAGAGGGAAGTCTATAGCAAGGGCCAAAACCCAGCTGGACCTGCTGAGGACACAGGGTTAGTGAATTGAGATGCTGGGACTAGGGGACCCTGTCTACCAGTGGGCTGGATTGTGGGATTCCACCCTAAGAGAAGTATAAGCCTTAGCCTGTCATTTGGAAGCACTGTCTATGGAGAGATTGAGTGAGGGGACAAAGGTACAGCTCACCCTGGAAGCTTAACATATTCTATTACTACTAATAATAAAATAATAATGGTGTATAGGAGGCATTGAGATGGGAAGGGAGAGCAGCCAAATATATTCAGATTCAAATCATCCCAGAACACACTATGGCAAATGTGACTGCTTTCTGGCACAGTCACCAGAATTTAATAGGATTTCAAATTCAATAAGATTTACTGACTTCAATTAATTTCACGTTGTGAAAGCCTAACAGGTTAAATGAGTTTACCACACCCTCAAGGAAATCTACTAGAAGTTTGCAGTAAGGAGGAACAGATGACTGGGGGTGACAGCGTTTTTAAAGGGGAAATTCAGAAGATTTCAAAGTCTCTGACACATAAAAAGTCTTTCCTTCCAGAGATTACTTTTTCAAACTGTCTTAACCGTAATCCAAAACAAAGGAGTCTCCATCCTGAGTGAGAGAAATCTGGCAGCATCCAAGACTAACAACAGTAAAGGAAAATCCAAAAAGGCCTGAGAATGGACCTTTTCCTGGATATCTAGGGGAGAAGCTCTTTCCCTCTCTTTAGAGAATAAATGCCAGCACTTTCAAAATACCACCTCCTCAACAGGTCTTTGCAGAAAAATACTCTCTTTCTGGGGCAAGTGCCTGCAAGAAATAGCAAAAGGGACTGCAGTCCCACAGGAAAGGAGGGCTGCTAGGTTAACCTTAGAGCAAAATACCTAGTCCTCCATGTGCAGCCTCTCCCAGGATTTCACTTAGGAGATAGCACAACATACCTGAAGCACCTGCGTTTAGAGACATCCACTTTGATTGTATTAACTGGGACAGGAGCACAAGTGACAGTGTTTCTCTAAATAATTATTAATGGAAATTTAAATCAATGTTAATGGGAAAGCTGTAAAAAAAAAAAAAAAACAAACCACGCACACTTTCTTTTAAAGATGAGAATTGGACATTTCATTATTTGCTTTCCTATGCTCTGAAGTATTATGAGACAAATAATGGTAATAAAAAGCTTAAAGAAAGTACTAAGTATCTATAGATTTCTAAATACTTTGAAAAAGGCAGGTCAGCACCATTACCCAGATGGAGAAACAAGCATTTCAAAGGTGTACACTAATTTTTGAATCCTCCATGGCTTGGTCTGACATGCCTGTAGCCATTTTTCAGATGTTCTGGCTATATTTTATTGGAATTCTGAGTAATCAGTACTTCTGAACACCAGCCCATACGTTGGACAACTAAAAAGTAAGCAACCCCTTTGAAAGGGTCAGTGACTTGCCCAAAGTCAGTACAAAGTCAATGACAGAATCAGGACAGAATTCAGCTCTTTCCACTACAAATGTTCTAAAACCAGTGCGCCAGGCAGCCTCTCCATAAGTCCCTACCTTAAAGGAAATTAAACATTGGCAACATGCCACAAGCCTCTTACTTTCTCAAGAAAGCCTACACCTGATCACGAAGTTACCTCTTTTCAAACACGGATTTTGAAATTTTACCAATATTTAGAAACATTATCTTTTCAAGACAGCAAACAGGCATCAGTCTGGCCAAGCACTACACTTTTTCAACGTCCTTTAATATGTTAACAGTAGTGGGTCAATCTTTGCTATGTGCTTTAGAGAAGTGAAGGAAACAATGCAAAGGCAAAAACCTCAAAATGCAGCAACTGCTCATTCATTAGATGATAGAAAACACTCAAACAGCTACAATAAAATAACCTACAAATGCACATTTTCTGTTCATTCAACTACATAAGGATAGATTAGGAGCACAAAAATAGCTTCCACAATCCTGTTTCATATGGGAGACAGCTCCATGCACACCCAAATACATGCTAAACATCCTTTTTGTTTTTCTGTTTGTCGTCACCTCTGTTAAAACTTGGGGTTTTTTTTCCTCCCTTTCTTCACACTATGAATAGGGTCATTACCTCTCACAACAGCCATATTATGAAGAAAATGCATAGTCATATCATATTCCTCAATTATGATACAAGAACGGTCACAGCAATCCAACATTCTACACCCAAATTAAATTTAGGAACCACAGGAATTACAACACTAAGCAAATCAATGGTCTGTCTAATCTGGTACCCTGTGTCTGATGGAGACCAGTACCAGATATTTCAGAAGGAGGAACAAAAATCTCCCTAACAGTTAGAATAGACTGATTAAAATCAGCAAGCAGGAAACTTTAATTTAAATCTTTGATTTTTATCTTGTTTTGCATTTGTTCTTTTTAGTTGTCTTCCTAAAGAAAAGCTGATCAACATTAAAACATGTTGATTTGCTAGGAAATATAGTCTTCACACTATATCTGGCACTTCTTAACCAGAAGGGTAAATAAATATTTATAGATTTAGTATAAGAAATTATATAGTTTAACATACATGTATTCAGATTCTTAATGTTTACATATTTATGATGGAAAATGATGAATGATGCTTTTCTTATTTACTGGATTATGGTTAATTTTTTTACTCGTGATTTATGTCAAGCAGCATAAGAACATAAGAATGGCCATATTGGGTCAGACCAAAGGTCCATCCAGCCCAGTATCCTGTCTACCGACAGGTGCCTAAGAAGAAGTGAACCTAACAGGTAATGATCAAGTGATCTCTCTCCTGCCATCCACCTCCATTCTCTGACAAACAGAGGCTAGAGACACCATTCCTTACCCATCCTGGCTAATAGCCATTAATGGACTTAACTGGATAAATTCATGGAGGTTCTCTTTTAAACCCTGTTATAGTCCTAACCTTCACAACCTCCTCAGGCAGGAGTTCCACAGCTTGACTGTGAGCTGAGTGAAGAACTTCCTTTTACTTCCATTTGGATGGAAATTGGAATTCAATTAAAAGTGTACAAAACCAGTTTTTTCAAATAGTATCAGTTGAATATAGGGCTACCTTAAATGTGCTGTATACATAAGGGGGGGAGGGAGTAAGTTTATCAAAACATGTTTTGCATTTAAAGCTAACTGATTTATTTTTTAAAAAGAGACAATGTGCGTGAGAGAATGGATTGTTTCTGCATATCTACTTCAGAATTTTAGAACGAATAGATCTCATCCTTCTGCACAATAAGCTTTTCTGCTTTTTCAACTTTGAATGAACTAGTCACTGAAATGAGCTAACTGAATGAACATCCAGCAGTTCAGTGGTGTTTCTTTAAAACTTCAGCAGCAAACATGTACTGCTTGAATGTTTCATTTAAATGATTGCAGTAAGTTTAGTTCTTAATATAGTTTTTTTTCAAATTTTAAATAGATTTGAGAAAAAAAAACATTAAATGTACATTTTTTAAAATCCGATTTGTGGAGGGGAGAGGGGAATCCATTTTTATCCACCCAATGGTGGATAAAAGACCTTTAGGGGAAGTTCTTCCTACCCTCAGGCGAATCAAGATGGTGGATTTTTTGTTTTTGTAAACATACTGCAAGCTACTTTGCATAAAAATCAGGACAAGCAGAAACAATAAGCTTTGAGGAACTACTTTCCCTTCCCCTTCCTTTAGTGAAAACTCCAACTTCCTTAATAGACATTTGAAATTACTGGGGCGGGAAGGGAATAAGGAGGTCTTAACAGAAGCAGCAGATAAACAACTCACAACAGAGTGAGTTAACAAAAAAGTCATTCTTCTTTCAGCCAGTCAGGTCTTTCTTCATATTGCTTACATTTCTAACCGGGACTCCATGATGAAAGCATCATTGCTGGCCTCATTCAGGACATGCCACATCAGAACCACAGAAACTAAAGATCTGTGAACAACAGGTCAATAAAGTATACTTAGATGACTGGAAAAGTAAACTACAATTCCAGAAAAACCTCTAATCTCTGCTTCAAAAAAAAAAAAAAAAGGCATTGGCCACTTTCCAAACTCACTAAACTGTGAAGCTACAAATGAGGCTGAATTACCTTTGTTTTAACATCATTCTTACCTAGCATTTTAATCAAAGTCAGCATTATAAAGCCACAGGATCTCTGCATGTTCCATACTGGACAGACAAGTGTAAAACAGAAACGTTTGTTAGGCAGGCACATACCACACAAAGCCTTACCGTGCAAATCGTACCTACCTCTAATACCAGAGTTTCAGCTTTACTTCCTACTGTACCGATTGTTACAGAGGAACCACAAACTATCAAAGGGCTGCCAAAGTATTATATAATTTAATAGAAAATGTTCGTAAATTACTCGAGTTGCACTAAGGCACGTAGAAGATGGAAGGCAAAAAAACCTCAAGACCCTTCGCATTCACAAATCCACGCCATGCTTACCAGAAAAAGGGCAAATAAAACCTAGTTTCATAACCATTGTTCAACCGCTCTCCGGGAGCCTCTCTTCATTAAGAGATTTTTACACATCAACTTTCTCTAGTGCATCTGCACGCAAAGAGCTACAAAGGGGGAGGAGGGGATGAAAGAGCCGAGTCCTCCGTCAAACGATAATCCAGGAAAATACACCCAAAAGCGAGGTGCACGAAAATTCCCTTCACGGTGGAAAACTGCCATTTAAAGGACACCAGCAATGGCAGAAAACAATACCCCCAAAAGACGGGTGGGGGATCCTCTCTGCACGTGAGCCAGCGTTTCTGCTCCTGGCTGTTGCGAGTCTAGGGGCTGTGCTGGAGATTTGAGCGCCGCCGCAGGTGTCTCATCCGCGCACACACTTCTGGGTTGCGGTTTGCTTCTACTGAAAGGGCATCGCGAGACCAGCCGAGCACCATTGGCACTAACAGCCAGGAAGGCGGCATGACATCTCTTATTCCGAGCCAAATGCAACCCTGATCCGGATTGGCTGTTTTACTTTTCAACCCAGAGGCTCCGTCATTGGCCAGCTGCAGCTGAATTCTGGTTGGCTGTTTTCAACCACTGCTGAAATGCTGGTTCACAGCTGTAGCTGCTCTTTTTTCCCACTGTAAAAGCTATTTCGAGGAAGACTGGGTGTAGTATATTGATCCACAGTAAATCCACACCATGTCTGCAGACCTGGTTACAGGAGAGCTGTTTTCTGACAGGTAGCATTGGAACGATTTGAAGGTCACAGTTAACACACAAAAAGAAAAGGAGTACTTGTGGCACCTTAGAGACTAACCAATTTATTTGAGCATGAGCTTTCGTGAGCTACAGCTCACTTCATCAGATGCATACGCTGTAGCTCACGAAAGCTCATGCTCAAATAAATTGGTTAGTCTCTAAGGTGCCACAAGTACTCCTTTTTTTTTGCGAATACAGACTAACACGGCTGTTCCTCTGAAACCAGTTAACACACAGTTAGACCCATCACACTGCCAAATGGAATTACGATTTAACCATATTAAAGGACAACCATATTGCCACTAGATATCCCAACGTAGATGATTGTGTTGTTTAGAACTAGACTTTTGATGAAGAATCTAATTAAGGAAAGGTTAAAGGACTTGCACTTATTCTCATTCTAAAAGAGCGGAGACTGGGATGACACAATAGTTTTGAAAGTTTTAACATAGCATGATAAAAGGGACAGCAAGGTTTTCACCTTCTTGACTCTTTTTAAATAGCTCAGGCAGAGCCAATGTATTATAATGAAGATTTCTGCATTATTCAGCAGACTTTGCAGATGACCATGTTTATTCCTCCTCGCTGTATATTTTTACAATGGTAAAAGATTCATATGGGACACCCTAAAAATTGGGAAAAATAAAGAATTTTACTATAACATCTCTACACCTTCTTCCATGCTGCCCTTTATATGGAGGAGAACCTTCCCAAAACTGATATGTAAAGCAACTACCTTCTCCTCCCTCAAATCTGTCCAAGAGTCTCTCTGTACAACACTCTTGAGAAACCAGCTAGTTGATGAACAGAAAGTTGATGTTTTATTTAATAAGGAAAAAAATGCCATGCAGAGAGTAAACAAACACATAGAATAAGATAGTAGTTAGGAACATCTGGGTAAAATTTTCATTGGACCATTTCAAACTAGAAATTTGGGGTTACTGGGTCCTCAGTGAATTTACAAATAATAGGCCAGATCCTAGGCTGTGTTAGGGCAGCTTTATATCAAACTGCTAGCACAAAGTAACCCTAAAGCCAGGCCACTAATCCTCCAGAGATTTTGCCTGCTTGGAATGAAGCTCAAGTAGCAAAGAACTACTGTAGCAATTCCCACCCTGGAGAGTGGGGCAGGTTGTTTCCTGCTCCCCTGCACCCAAATGATCTGACTGCACAGCACCTTAAAACCACCTTTGCAATGCCCCTCCTCAGCTGCATTGATCTTTCTTCTACCACAATTGAAGACTAAGCCCATGAAGCCTATCATAATAAAATGCCAAAGCTGGACAATTAGTCAAATTTAAATACAAAGAGTATAAAAAAATGCACATTATTTATTCCTGCAACATCCATTTCAAACAAATGAAGCAGAACCACTGAATTTCTAAAACAAAATTATAAAAGGACAGTTTATTCAAAAACTATATAACAAAGGCACACGGTCAAGTAAAAGATACATAACACTGTAAAATTGCATGTTAGAGTCAAGAAAGTCATGATTTTATTGTAGAAAATGAAGTGCTAACCTGGTAACCAGGTTGATCTGTATTTTGGGGAGAGAATTCAACATGAAAAATCTAAATGGAATGTTTAATTTCTATTACTAGTTACAAAAGGTGTGGCAAAAGCAAGTCCATATGTTGAACTTATGTGTTTCAAGCACTTTTCATACTGATTATTCAGTTTTATTGATTCTTGTAGAGCATACTTTAAATCTTCTATCTCGTCGAAAAATTCCTAAAAAAGAAAATTCAGTATTCATCTATTTTTTTCTAAAGTTACATTTCCCATTAGACATTGGAAGGTTATAGTCATACCTCAAAATTTTCCCCTGCTTCAGCCTACTTCTCAGGGTACAGACACAGCGAGTCTCACAGCCCGAGTCGATAGACTCAAACTTCCACTAACATGCTAAAAACAGCTGTACATTGCAGCTTGGGACAGAGCTCAGGCTCTGGTGAGGGAGGTGGGCTTCAGAGCCTGAGCCGGAACATCAACACAGCCATTTTTAGTGCAGTAGAGTGACATCAAGTTTATCAACTCAGGCTCTGGCACTCGCTGCTGTGGGCCATGTAGATGTACCCTCAGAGTACTCTTCAAGTTATACACATAGGAATCACTTTGGTCACCACTGAGGCTGCAACCACATCTCAACTGAGATGTGGTGGCTAACTGCAACACTGCACAACAGCTTACAACTTTTATATATATAGCAACTTTCATACAAACAGTTTCAAAATATTTTACAGACAAATAATAGAAAGTAAAATAAAAAATATGATAGCAGCAAGAGAAATTAAGAGAGAAGCAAAGGAGAGAAGAGTCAATGTTGCAGAAAGACAAAAAGGAAGTTCTAAATGGAAAGGAAAGGTAGTCACACAAACCCAGTGGTGTGGACAGAGATAGGAGGATGCATTCAAGAGAGAAAGCGAAGTCCACAAAGACACAGGGAACAAATCAGCGACAATTTTAAAAAACAAAGGGGTTTCAAAGGAATCTCAAAGTGAATCAGGTGCCAAAAGAGGTGTCTGATAATGGAAATGTAGTTATATTTTCCTGTATTTGCAAAAGCCAGACAGCAGAATTCCACACATCATGGAGTCTGGAGAGCTGAGAGTTAGGAGTGAGTCCGTAAAAACTGGAACTGCAATAGTCAAGGAGAGAGGAGATTAAGGTATGGATAAGGATTTCAGAAATGGAGGAATCAAGGTAATGACTTGCACAGGCAATCTTCCAGAGTTTAGGACAGTAAAAGAACAGCATATCCAAATCACTTACAGAGGAAGTATAGCAATAGTAGACAGAATGTAATCACCCAGAATTCTAGCCCGAACGGTGACACAGAATCTACTACTTTCAAAAGAGATTACATGATAAAGATGCCTCCAGATTCTACTGTTTTCTTCTCTTGTTTTTACTTTGACTAAGTGCTTTGGAGAAGGGAGTCAATGTTGGTTTTTTAACCTGCTACACACATCTTGTAGTCATCTGTATAATAAAATTCTACAATTGTTACTCTGTGTGTCACTCGGAAGCCTACAATGTCTGTTGAGTCAGTGTGAGGAGACAGAAACAGCTACAAGCATGGCTGAGAGCTCTTTTTGTTCAGAATATCACCAGATTCAATCATCATTAAGATTCCCTGTTTTACTGTCCAATTTTTAAGTTCTCAGCCACTTTGATTTTATGAATTACATCTGTGTGGTGTGTAGCTACAGCAGGCATGTATATATGCCAAGCCACAAGTCCTAGACCATTGTGATATCAGAGGCAACTCAACCAATCACTGCCCTTCCTCTATAGTTAATTTGCATGCAACAGTTGTATTGGTTGTATGAGACAGGCTGCACAGACTGAGGAGTGTGTGGCCCGACTGCCACACCTGTGCAATATCACAGGCTTTCAGCTACTAGTATATCAGTAATAACAACCTTAGTGACAAATAATTAGATCCTCAGATAGATCTCTCATCTCTACCTCCTAAATAAAACATCAGGCTGGGCCATATTGATTCAATAACAATTCTTAGAAAACAGTCACACACAATAAATCAACACCACCACTTCCTGCTGGATCTGTAAGTACTACCCAGTTGGAAAACCTGTTGGAGCCGATGAGAACAACAGGACAAGGCAGTACTTCCTTCAAGAGGAAATACTAAATTAGTACTGAAAACAAGGGACAAGTTATGTCAGTATCTGAATTTATTCTTCAACAAACACTCATGACTATACAATTATTAGGATTACTCTCTACACACCAAGCTTAAAATTTTCAAAAGCACCTAACTGGACTGAAGTTCCCAAATCACTTGAATGTCAATGATGCCAGCATGTGCTACAGATCCAAGAGTGAATGGATTAATGTTTGTCCTCCAATCAAAAGGACCAAGCTGAAATAATTAGCTTTATGCAAACACAAAAATCTAAAAACAGCTGAAAGGAAATTTGCTGCTAAAAATGAAGAAAACTTTCATCTGGATATTCAAATAACTCAGCTGAACAGTAAGATTAGACCTCCAACTCTTACCATCTCATTTCAAGAATTACCAACACTTCCCACTAATTCCCTCCTCCCCTCGTCCAAATGTCACTTTTAACAGCCCAGCAAAGAAGAGTGAAAAGTCTTGCCTAGGAGTAACTAACTCTATGGAAGAATAATCCTCCGCTCACAAATATTACAGAGCAGCAGTGGATACTTAGTTTGGGAAATTTGTTTTTGTTCTCAACGCAATTATCTATCTGTTGGGCAGAACTAAGTCAATCGATTTACACTTCAGTCAATGTCTCTGTAACATGGAGCAAATAACCTCAAGGTGGAAGACTAGAGACAGAAGTGGCCCAAGATAAAAGCGTGTTCACAAGAGAATCAAGCAGTTAAAAGCAAAGGTTCAGCTGAATTCCAATTACTCCTCTTCCTGAACAAGTGGGTATGGAGGAAATTAAACCAAAGAACTGTTAATCTGTATTCCTTTTCTAAAGCAAACACATATTTGAGTCAATATGTACAACAGCAAGCACTTCATCTATGGCTAATACACACTAGGAAGTTAGTTTTATAAATTTGTCCATTATGAAATTTATCCTAAAAGCAAGTTACCTTGTCTAATCCAGGTAATTCATTTCTTTGCATTCTCCTTTCTCTAGACAGCTTCTCATTTTTCTTCTTCAGCTTTTGAATCTCAAGCAGCAATAGCACTACATTCAAATTAAAAATTCATATTTTAATCATTACAATTAACTTCTCACATGTCTATCAATCATATTACACTATATCCAGAGTTTGGTGTTATTGTTATGCAAATTACAGCTCATATTTTAGGGGGGGTGGGAAATTCTCCTTTAAAAATTTGATCCTTCGCATTTCCAACAACTACAAGATCACAGGATCTGCCAGTGGGACAGTTTTTATGTCAATTTTTATAAAAGCCTATTCTGAGATTTTTGCTTTGCTAGCATTCTATCCAACTATCAGAAACTCTGCTCTTACACGATTTGACTCCTCTCCTCTCTCCTTGACTTGGATGGTCAGATGTGATCTTCTGAGCTATGACGTCATGCCATCTATTACTGATAAGAATTTTCTTTAGAATTGCAGTGAGTTCTTGGCTTTGAATAAAAACCTTGATGTCACAGTAGTTTGGGCATTCTATATATAAACTATTCCCCTGCAGGTTTCCTCCATTAGTTAGATACAATCCTGTTCCACTCTGCTCTATTCTAGAAAAGTGACCCTATGAAAATTATACTGTGCAGGGTCTAGGTTTGTCTCTTAGCTTCCATAACAAAGGTGCCAAGTTTACAGTAAAAAAAAAAGGGGGGGGTGAGGGGGGGAGATGGAGGGTTAGATCTGGCTAGGTTCTCCCTCATACAACATCACCAAAAATTAAGATTCCGAAGTCTAAAGTATGATGCCGAATACCTGTGCAACAAGACTGCCTCAAACGGGTTCGTACAGGTACAGCTGACTATAACATAGCAAATAATGTTGATAGACAAGATATAGACTACAACTCCTTTCCCAGAGCTAAACTGGCTTTATAGGTCTAAGCAAAAGTAAAAAGCAGCAAACGCTTTTTATCACTAAAATACAAAAATATGAGACTAAATCCACACAAATGTAGATCTATTGATCAGATAGGGCCATTTTCAGACAGCAACTTTTCAAAGATTAATAGCACTTCAGATACTACAATAAGGGCTAAGTGAGCCCTATGCGTTAGGATGAAATGCATCCTCTTTGATGAGACATGACATGTATAAAAGCACCAGAGCAGGGAGTCAATGTTTGTTTTGTAAACTGCCTCACATATCTATTACCTAAATATTTGCAAGAACAGGCTCCCTTCTTCTTACAAATGCATCTGTGAGATAATGTTATTTCTCTCTCTGCTGTTGGAGTCCTTACTCCAGAAATAGCGTTGTCCTTCTGGGAGACCTTTTTACATTCCAGCTGCTCAATTCTTTGCTTTTGTCCTTGAAATTGATGCTCTAGCTCATGAATTTTAATCTACGTTCAAAAAAATTAGAAAATGTAAAGCAGAAGTGTACAAAAAAAATCAATCTCAGCTTTATGTGATTAGAAATACAGTATCTCTTGAGCCCCAATTCAAAGCTCTCACTATCTAATTTAGAACAGAACTTACCAGCAAAAGCATGAAGAATAAGAGCAAATCCTGCAAACACCAATTTTTTTCAAAAATCTGTTATAAATATATATACACAAATAAGAAATACCAACCCTTCTCCCACAAAAAAATTGAAACATTTTACACTGGTCCTGATCTGAACCTACTGATATCAGCCACACAACAACCATGACATTCTATTTTGAAAAATGATTAATCAGACTGCATAAATCTGAAGAGGCACTTAAATGTATGGGAAATGTTAGTTTGCAACATTACTTAATATTGCCAGATACAGCATGTCCCACATTTTTAAAAGTAAATACTAAAATAGCAACTAGATAAGGAAAATTGTTGTATTTTTACATAACTGGATTTTTAAAATCTCTTTTGTTGTTTCACTATGAAATATTATTAGGAAGTTTTTAAACTGCGTAACAATTATGCAACTCTGTTTTCTAGCAATAGCAAAAATGGTGTTTATCCCAATATAATGAACACTAACTCCAGTCAGATTGAGCCAGTTCTTACAAATATCTACAAAAATAGCCTAAAGGCAATCGACATTGAAGTCATGGACCAAAGAGCAGTGACAGAATTTACTCTTAAAGTCAAAGACCATTCACCTGTGAACTCAAGGAAAAGAGAGAAAATGAAAAAGAAAAAAAAATGAAAAGAGAAATATTCATGACCATTTATACAAATATTAGGAAAGCTCAAAACTTACCCTTAAATGTCACATTAAATTATTTGAAATAAACTGAACAGTCACTACTTACAGTGAGATTTTTAATTGTTTCACTTTGTTCCTGGTTTGTTTTGATTGCTCTGTCATAACGTTTCTGCAGGTTATTATACATCTGAAGTATTCTGATAACAGAAAAAAGTGTGTGAACTGATGATTATAGCATGCAAACTACCATTTTATTCCTTCATACTAGAATCCTTTAAAAAAAAAAAAAAAGAAAGAAAAAACGGCTCGCATTTGGTAATGTGTTAGTTATACGGAAACCCTTTGGATTGTAGTTATATTTCATATCTCTGAGTCTACATAAATCAGGTCCATAGATTAACTAGTGCAGTGTTTTTCAATCTGTGGGTTGCGACCCAGTACTGGGTTGCGGCATCTGAGGCGCTGGGTCGACCTGCTCTGCTCAGCACCGCCGACTGGGAAGTTAAAAGTCCCATTAGCTGCGCTGCTCAGCTAAGGCAGGCTAGTGCCTACCTTTTCCGACACTGCACTGTGCCCCGGAAGTGCCAGCAGCAGTCCAGCTTCTAGGCAGGGAGGCCACAGGGCTCCGTGCGCTGCCACCGCCAAAGCACCAGCTCCATACTCCCGTTGCCAGCCACACTCCCTGGTGCCTGCAGGCGAGAGTCGCGTGGAGCTGCTTGCGCACCTCTGCCTAGGAGCCAGACCTGCTGCTGGCCGCTTCCAGGGAACCCCTTCCTGCATCCCAAACTCCTTATCCCCAGCCCAGACCCCCTCCCCCAGCCCTGAGTCCCCCCCAAACCCAGAATCCCCTCCCGCACCCCAACCCCCTGCCCCAGCCCCCCCACCCTGAACCCCTCATTCCTGAACCCACCCCGCAGCTCTCAGCCCCGCACCCCAACCCTCTGCCCAGCCCTGAGCCCCTCCCACACTCTAAACCCCTCATTCCCAGCTCTGTTGGGTCACAGGCATCAACAATTTTCTTCAACTGGGTCCCCAGAAAAAAAGTTTGAAAACCACTGAACTAGCGAATATGCATGGATGTTTCTCCTATTACACCATGAACATGTTCATTAACTACTAGAAACAGAGCATAATCTTAGGCAATAACCCAAGTTATCTGTATAAGAAATATGTCCATTCAAATACCAACATTCTTATGAAATAAATCCAAAACAGATTCACAAAAAAAGGTGTATGCTAGACATCAACAAAGAACAGTAATGTATGGTTCATACCTGCAATGCTTACTCATATGAGTAGACCCAATGACTTCATGGATTAAGGATTGGACTATTCAAGCCTGACTCAAAGGTCACTGACTTCAATGGGTATTGGATTGGGCTCTTACTGAGAACAAAATGCAACTGGCTATATTAAGAACCCTGTGCTTTCTGAAACAGACACTATGATAAAACCTCAGTTTTCTATAAAGCTGTACACACAAACTCTTTGAAGGTTTGTTATGGATAAATTTATTTCTCGGTCTCATGAAACATAGGGTGCTTATATTGAATTATTGGCATTTTAAACTTATTTTATTAACCTTCACAGAAACACCTCACAACTAGAGTTAGAAAAGGGAGAATGAGAAATATTCAGGATGTACAAGATTTTATTTTTTTACATTTCGCCGATAAAGACAAATATAACTGCACAAATGTGTTGTATCCTATTTCACCTAACAAGTTTTAACAGTGCAATAAAATGACAGGAGAATAAACATTACCACACATGCATTACAACTATCTCCTGAATAAGGATACTCATTAACTATTATAGAGAAAATAGTGATGGGCTAAAAACACAGTAAAAGTCAGATTCATTTTAAGTGCTGAGAAAGCAAACCATTTATCAAGATATTGGCTCTGTCTCCCTCCTTCTTGTCAATGGAACTACTGTATATAATTCAGACTTCAGTGAAAGGGATTTTTAATTATGAACATTTGATATTAGCAAAGATAGGAGAATTCCTACCACTTAGGCAAATTCTTGGTGACTTCCCAATAACTATTGTCCTACAAAATATGTATTCAAATCTTTAATTTGATCCAAAACCTTGACAAATAAAATGTAAGACTCCAATCCTGCAACTGATAGGAGCATGAATGGACTGCTACACCTATATGGAGTCCCAATGAACTTAACAGGGCACCGTGCAAGCAAAGCAGACCCTGTATGCACTACAAATTGCATGATGACAGCCTTAATGCTCCTTCTGAGAACTGAACTAAAACTGTACCCTTCACATCACAAGCCAGTTATGAGAGTTTATATTCAGCAATAATTCACAAACCCCAATGTAAAAGAAATTACTTCTTGTTCAAACAGTAACAGACGAGAGCAATCAGATGATTTAACTGCTGTGGTTTTATATTGGACAGTGCACTGTCCAACGAATGACTTACATTTAATACTTCTAGATTCCTAACCTCAAATTATGTAATTTATCTTTCTCCTTTCCACAAGCTTCCCAACTTCTTTCCATTTTTCCCTAAGCTTCCACACTTCCTTCTATTTTCCCTAAGAGAGTGAGTTGTGGAGAAAATTTCTACTCAATCCTTAAATATTTTTCTCTACTTTCATTGTCTGAAGCATTGTCAAAGCATTTCCTTTCTCAACACTTAAAATGAATTTTCATTTCTATAGCATAATGTGGGAATTTGAATGCCCTCAAATACACTGAAAGTTACTTCCAAGCAACATCTCACATACCCATATGACATTTCTCATGAATAACATACTCCATATTCTACCCAAGAGAAGTGAATCACCACGTAAGACTCTTAAAGAATGCTAGTTCCAGTGAGAGAAGACATGCTTCATTAACCTTGTAAATAAGCAGGCCCCAGAAGAACTTACCTGGCACTTTCGCTTGCTACTTTCATTTCCTTGTTGTGACTGCCAGCTCCCTTGTGCCATAAGTGGGATTCTGTTTGAACCTGAACACTTAATTGACATAAATGCAACAGCTTAAGGATGGTCTCTCTCCCACTCAACAATGCAAACAGATTTCAAAACTGTGATGGGACATTTTGAAGTAGAAAGGATAAATGAAGACATTTTTTCTTTTGACCTCAAAATACAAGTTTACACTTCTCATGTTTTTCACTCTGTATGGAAAGTCCTACTGAAAATACTGCACACAGAGATACATGGAATGCTATCTAGCTACTTTTCAAAGCACCAAAACTTAAAAAAAAAAATCAAATCTTCACATCCAGATGTTTTAAATAACACTAATACTTAAAGTATTGCACATTACACTCACTGATGGTTTATTTACCATCAAAATATCCTAGAGCACTTTACACTAAGTTGGATACTGGTTGCACACTGAGTAAGCAAACGCAGCAGCCACATACAGACAGATATTACAACTTGCTGTTACACTCACAGTGTGAATTTTGTCCAGAGCACCAGGATTGCCCTCTACTCTTTTTTGAGCAGTGCCCCAAGACTTTTATCATCTCCTTTTTTCGTTGCACGGACAGCCAACAAAGATAAGCAGAACAAATTATGTTTAATGGCTCATCTAAAACAGTGGTACTCAACCAGGAGTCCGGGGCCCCCTTGGGGGCTGCAAGCAGGTTTCAGGGGGTCTGCCAAGCAGGGCCTGCATTAGACGCGCTGGGGTCCAGGGCAGAAAGCCAAAGCCCCACCACATGATGCTGAAGCCTGGGGCTCCAAGTCCAGCCACCCAGGGCTGAAGCTGAATCCCGAGCAACTTAGCTTTGCAGGGCCCCCTGTAGCATGGGGCCCAGGGGCAATTGCTCCGCTTGCTACCCCCTAAAGCTGGCCCTGGCTTTTATATGCAAACACATAGCTGGGCCGTGGAGTTTTTATAGTGGTCGGGGTGGGGAGGTTGAGAACCTCTGATCTAAAAAGATGCCATCAGGGGACAAGTACCCAAGTTCTGCATGGCAATGTCACCTCTGCATACAGGTGTCTCAAATCAAGACTTTAATCCAGGGAAATAATAATTCTTACTCTCTGCTTGTGACACAGTCATGCATTAACTGCTCCAGATGCAGTTTTTCCTGGATCTGAGCCAAATCATTTTCCAGCTGTTGATTTTTTCTACGCAGCCTTTTCAACTTCTTAAGTAGCTGTTCGTTTTCATCACTGAGCTGGAAAGTAAGAGAAAAACATTTTACCAAATGAAATTTTCAAATGCTATATTAATATGGATTCCTAACATTGCTGACTAACATTCATTTTTATAAACTCCAGTATGTTTACCCTGGGTCACTCAGATGCATAAAAAAAGATACTTCAGAAAGCCATTGGCTTAATTTTTTTTATGGAGAATGTACCCGAACACACCTTCTTTAGGATATACACAAGAGAGATAATATCCTCTATACAGTTTAGTGAATCAGTACCAAATGCTTCTATTTTGTCAGTGCCTCAAGTGTAAAATATATGTTTCTATACACAGAGAGGAGGGAGAAGGTATGTATACTGTTGCCAGAGGTTCTCAAACTGTGGGTCGGGACCCCAAAGGTTGGTGTTAAACTTGTTAGGGCCAAAGCCAAAGCCTGAGTCCCACTGCCCAGGGTAAACTGGAGTGCCGCAGGGTGGCCAGGAGCATTGTCTACGATCAGCAACGCTTTAAAGTCAAGTCCTTTCTCTTCGAGGTACCGCTTGACCTCCTGAATGAAACACTTGTGGAACCAATCCAGAAATAATGCTGCCGTCACCCAAGCCTTTTTATTTGATTGCCAGAACACAGGCAGGAGATTTTTGTTCTTGCCTTTGAGGGCACAGGGATTTGCAGCCCTGTAGAGCAAGCCTGGCTTTATTAAATGCTCAGCCACATTGCCAAAAAACAACAGTGACATGGTCTTTAGCTGCTTTGAAGCCAGGGGCTTGTCCTTCTGATTTTGAAGTAGGCATTTTTTTCCAGAAGAGCCCAGTCTCGTCAGCATTAAAAACTTGTTCCAGAAGATAACCCTTTTCTTCTATGATTTTCTTTAATTTTTCGGGGTAGGCTTTTGCTGCCTCTTCATTGGCAGATGCAGGTTCACCAGTAGTCTGCACGTTTTTGAGGTTGAAGCGGTTACTAAAACTGTTAAGCCAATCTTGGCTGGCTTTGAATTCCTTCTCATCAAAAGGCTGTCCCTCTTCGGCGGGAGGTTTGAACAGCGCACAGAGGCTAAGAGCCATAAATAGGCACGTTTACAGTTCATGTCTTCCAGCCATAAATTTAATGCCTTTTCAGTCTTCACTAAAGTCTTATCACGCATCTAGCTCATCACCTTAGCAGTTATTGGAGCACTAGATGCCACTAGCTTGATGAATTTCTCTCTCTCTCATCTTGCTGGCACGGATGCTAGATTCGTTGCAGTCATATTTATGCGCCATGTTGGAAACCGACATACCGTCTCTCAATAAGTCCAACACAGCCAGTTTTTCCTCCAGCATTGGAACAGATCATGGTTTCTTCAGTTGAGCATCAGATGAAGTAGTTGGCTTGCGTTTAGGAGCCATGTTGTACGAAAAATACATACAGTATCTTTAAACACTAGAATCACGCTCAGCACAGCAATATACTTACACTATGAGAGGCATGCGGGAACTGAGACTGACTGAGGGAATAGCAGATTCACGTCTCCCATCTCACGCTCACTCCGGGGCATATGCTCATGGAGTGGAATTGTGGGTGGAATCGTCCGCACTATTTACAGGTATCTTGTTTTTTGGGGGTTTTTTTGCGGAGCGCATATAGTTGAATTTGTGTAAGTTAAATGCGCATATGATGCGACTCACCTGTACTTCGAAACATAGGCCCCAAATCTGCAGACACACTTGTGCTTATCTTTATACATGATTAGTCCCATTGAAGCTCTTAGTATACAAATAGCTTTGGATGAAATGCAGGAGAGTGAGTTTGTGTGTGTATGGGGGTGGGGGGGATGTGAGAAAACCTGGATCTATGCAGGAAATAGCCCGACTTGATTATGTAAAGAGTTGTCACTTTGGATGGGCTAGCACCAGCAGGAGAGTGAATTTGTGTGGGGGGGTGGAGGGTGAGAAAACCTGGATTTGTGCTGGAAATGGCCCACCTGTTGATCACTTTAGATAAGCTATTACCAGCAGGACAGTGGGGTGGGAGGAGGTATTGTTTCATATTCTCTGTGTGTATATAAAGTCTGCTGCAGTTTCCACGGTATACATCTGATGAAGTGAGCTGTAGCTCACGAAAGCTCATGCTCAAATAAATTGGTTAGTCTCTAAGGTGCCACAAGTACTCCTTTTCTTTTTGCGAATACAGACTAACACGGCTGTTCCTCTGAAACCTTTTATATATTTATATTATTTTTACCTCTTTAAGTAGCTTATTCCACTACTTAACTATCTTTATAGTTAGAAAAAACTTTCTAATATCTAACCCAAATCTCCCTTGCTACAAACTACAATTATTGCTTCTTTTCCTACACTCAGTGGACGTGGAGACCAATTGATCACCATCCTCTTTATTTTTTTTTACACAGTGATTCTCAAACTTTGTACTGGTGACCCCTTTCAAATAGCAATCCTCTGAGTGCGACGCCCCCTTATAAATTAAAAAACACTTTTAAAATATTTAACACCGTTATAAATGCTGGATGTAAAGCAGGGTTCGGGGTGGAAGCTGACAGCTAGCGATCCCGAGGGGTCCCAACCCCCAGTTTGAGAACCCCTGGTTTTACACATTTGAAGACTCTCATGTCCATGCCCTCAGTTTTCTCTTCTCTAGAACAAACACGCCCAGTTCTTTCACTCTCATATTTTTAAGCCTCTTATTTTTTTGCTTCCCTCTGGACTCTCTCCAATTTGTTCACACCTTTTTTAAAATGTTGTATCCCAATATGGACATAGTACTCTAGCTAAGGCCTTATCAATGTCAAGCAGAGCAGAACAATTACCTGCCATCTTACACATGGCAGTCCGGTTACAGAGAAGAAGAATTACCTGCCATGACTTATACATGGCACTCCTGTCAGTATGTCCCGGAATGACATTTGCCATTTTTTGCAATAGCATCACACTGTTGACTCATTTTCCATTTGTGATCCACTGTAACCCCAAGATCCTTTTCTGCAGTACTGTTCCCCAGCCAACTATTCTAATACGATTAGGCTTGTTTCTGTAAACACTTACGCTTTTGATTATCTTTACACGTAAGTAGTTCCACTGAAGTCAATTGGATTACTCAAGCAAGTAAAGTTAAGGATGCCATAAGTGCTTGCAGGATCAGGATCATAAGTTTATTATAAGTTTTAAAAATAAAAAAGTACACTTCAAATGCAGGTGGTTTTTTACATGAATTAGGATATTGTAAATCCAAATGGTAACTAGACCTTAAGAAGTTTATGTTTAGATATTATAAATAACCTCAGCATACACGTCAACTTTTAAATCAGTAAGAGAGCAATTGAAGATGTTGGAAACATTCAAGAGCTAAATAAACACAATGAAAACAACATAAATAGCTTAACCATTTAAATACCAAGTGGTCACAGTGAGCAATTAATGTGTTCATCTCCTTTTATCCTAAAGGTAGTTACAAACTAAGGGTTTGGTCCTATTCATATCCATGGAGGCTGACCCCTATGGAGCCAACTGCATGATTGGAATTAAGAGCCTGATTTTGCAAAAATTTACCGTTCTAACTTTAGTCTGGAAATAATCTCACTGAACTCTAAAACCAAGTTAGGCATGTGTTTCAGTACCTTGATGAATCAGGGTTTATGTGAGTAAAATGACTCGATGGACTTGGTCCTTAAACGGATACCTAGATTTTTCATGTTGTGGGAAATGCAGCTAACAGTCGTGCATACTGTACAACAACTGTAAAGAATAACACTATCAATTTGCAATCTGGTTAACCGAGGGAAGGGGCAGATAAAACTAGTGTGAGAAGCCCCCCCCCCCCGCCAGTGTTTGTGGTTTACAATCACATCCCCCCTCCCCCCCCGCTGAACAGTGCTTTTCACCCCCGGCGCGGTGCGGAAGTCCCCGGTGGGGGTTGCGAAGTAGCTGAGCCCCAGCGCGGGAAGGGAGCAAACGGAACCGACACCGAACCGCCCGCCCCCGCGGTGCCTCCGCGCCCCTCTCTCAGGCCTCCGCGGCTCGCTCACTTGCAGGCACTTGTGGACGGCGGGCAGCTCCATGGGCCCCGGAGGCGAGGCCACCCGCTGCGCATGCCCAAGGGGCGGGGACTAAAGGAATCTCTCCCTCCCTGCCCCCCGCGCGACTCGTGTCCTCTCTTTCCAACGGCCCTCTGGCCGCGTGCCCTGCTCGCTGCCTGCCCGTTTTCCCTCCATGTGTACAGCACCCGGGGCGCGCAGGGACCGGGGGCGCCAGCGTTTCAATACTGAATAAGGCTTAAAAGGCGGAGGCGATGCCACCCTCACGGCCGCCTTTCCCAGCTCGAGACAGGCAGGTTACGGACACCTAAGTACTTGGGTGGACGCGACCTCAGGCTGTGGGTGATGCAATTAACCCGCGACTATGCTGCTTCAGGCCCCCTCCGGGGTTGCCCGGAGACGGAGGCAAAGGGGCGGGGCTCGTTCCTCTCGCGGGCCCCACAGGGACTCAGGCTGGCGAGCCATCGACGCTAGTGCTTTTCAAACTTTTTTTTTTTTCCCTGCGGACCCAGTTGAAGAAAATTGTTGATGCCCGCCACCCAATGGAGCTGGGGATGAGGGGTGTGGGAGGGGCTCAGGGCTGGGGCAGAGGGTTGGGGTGTGGGAGGGGGTTCTGGGTTGCGGGGGCTCAGGGCTGGGGCAGGGGATTGGGGTGCAGGGTTAAGGCTCAGACTTACCTCCAGTGGCTCCAGGTCAGCAGCACAGCTGGGGTGCAGGGGCCGGCTTCCCACCTGTCCTGGCCCCGTGGTGCACCTGAAGTGACTGGCAGCAGGTCCGGCTCCTAGGCGGAGGCGCACAAGAACGCAACTCTCGCCCGCAGGCATCGCCCCCCCAGCGCCCAGTGGGCAGAGTGTGGAGCTGGTGCTCGGGGCAGGGCATGGAGCCCCATGGTCCCCCCGCCTAGAAGCTGGACCCGCTGGTGGCCGCTTCTGGGGCGTAGCGCAGTGTCAGAAAAGATAGGCACTAGCCTGCCTTAGCTGGGCAGCACCACCGATGGGACTTTTAACGTTCGGGTCAGCAGTGCTGACCAGGGTGACCCAGTGCCTTACATGTCACGACCCGAACTTTGAAAAACGCTGATCTAAGTGGTTCTATGGCACAGTCCATGTAACGGTGCGCTATGCGCCCGTACAGGCCAAGGCTTCTGATTTGATTGCTGGTCTTCTTGCAATATTTGCTGTGTCCTTTAAAGCCCTGCCCGCCGGAATCCTCCTGTACTGATCACATCACATGCTCCACCTTTTTCAAAGGGGAGCATCTAGCTATCAGGCTTGGGAAGAAAAGCTGAAAAATGTGAAATGAGTTCACTCTAAAGGCACCAAAACTAGAAGACAAATAACAACCCAAAATGTATTACTTTTTAAAAGTCTCTTTATTTTTTAGCCAGTCATGATTTATTTTTTAAACTCACTCATGGTTTTTGAATATTTGGGGCTGATAATTTTGCACATATACACAAATACATTGAATGCTTGGGGTTGACAATATTGCACATAAGCATGTTCACATACACACAGATACTGAATACTTGGGGTTGACAGTATTTTATGCAAGCACATGGACAACTGAATGCTTGGGTTTGACTTGCACACAAGTGCACATGCGCACACGTTGAATGGGGTTGGCAATATTGCACACAAGTACATGGGCACACGAGCATGCATGCATGCACATGTAATGCTTAGGGCTGGCAATATTGCACACGCATGTGTGCATGTGCATATGCATACATACTGAATAGTTGGGATTGACAGTATTGCACACAAAAGCACATGCACACAATGAATGGGGTTGACTTGCACACAAGCGCACATGTGCACACTGAATATTTGGGGTTGGCAATATTGCACACAAGCACATGCACACACAAACTGTGGCCTTTTAGTAAGGCCCATGTTAGCTGCCACTCACCCTCTCCTTGTGAGGTCTCCCTTGTTTCCCTCATCCTCAGGATCAGCCACACAACCCTCCAGGAATCACTCTCATGGCCCATTACATTGCCCTGTTACCATGGCATCTCAGGGAATCACTGTACTAACATGACGAACTGATGCTGAATAAAGAAAGAACCGCTGTGCAGTCTTCAAAGAAGACACTTCTTGACACCAGTCACTGGCTCAGTTCACTTAAAGAAGGGCACATGTTATTTTCCATATGCCCTTTTATAATTATGATCATATTTTACAAATTTGATGTAAAAATATTTGACTTCATTTTGATCTGGATACCCATTTTTCAAATGGCAAATGGAAGCCTTGGTGGGAAGCACTGCAGTGGGGAAAAGTCAGACAAGAGGTATCTCTCAGGTATTTCTCTATCCCATTATAGACAGTATGAGCAGGATACTGTGTTTCCCTGAAATCTGGAAATGTCTTTGTTTATTGATTGGTTTCAGAGTAGCAGCCGTGTTAGTCTGTATCCGCAAAAAGAAAAGGAGGTCTTGTGACATCTTAGAGACTAACCAATTTATTTGAGCATAAGCTTTCGTGAGCTACAGCTCACTTCATCGGATGCATTCAGTGGAAAATACAGTGGGGAGATTTATATACACAGAGAACATAAAACAATGGGTGTTTATTGATTGTTCCTAAATCTAGTAGTTAAAGCCATAGGAGAAGATAAGGGCCTCTAGAGGCAAAAGGGGTGGTATTTTCAAGGGCATTTAAACAACTTGGTAAGACTTATGCTCCTAAGCCACTTAGGTTCTTCTGCAGAAGGGTAAGAGAAAGGGGTAAAGGATGGACTTCTCTGGACCTCCCATTGAAAGTGGAAGAGAGAAGGAAGAGGATCCCACTGAACAGCATGCAGAAGGAACAACCAGACATATAAGGGGTATGAAAGGAGATGGCCCATGAAAGGATCTGTCCCAGGTGGTTCACCAAATGAAAACTTTGAAGATCTCCAGCCCTTCCTTAACTCCTTCTGGACACACTCCCTATTCCCCAACTCCATAATAATTTATAATGAGACTTTATAATAATTTAACACTTATATAGAGCTTTTTAGACCCAGAGATCTCAAACGTTTTACAGAGATAGGTACCATTCCCATTTTATAGATGGGAAACTGAAGCACAGGGGAGTTGCAAGTATAGCAAGTAATATAGCAAGTAAATGACAAAGCCAGGAGGAGAACCAGAATTCCTAGTCTAAAGTTCTATCCACTGAACTACATATCCTTGTTCAATTCTGCATAGCTGGCATGGCAGAGCAATTTGAGACAGATGGAGGAAGAAGAATAAACACTGGCGTGACCAAAAGCACCCCTGTATTCACACCCTACACACTATTGTAACAATAATCTTTGTGTAAAAATGTTTGTATGAAATGCATATTAAGAGTTCTGAACATAAGATGAAATTATGACTACAATATGTTTACTGGACAAGTCTGAGGAGTGGGTAAATTGGTTTGTCAAAGACAAAGGACAAACTGATGCCTCTAGCCAGGTGTCATCAAAGTTAATTGCCAACCACGTGTCAAGTGGCCATTCTCTGGCAATGAAGGGGGGTAGGAACAGATGGATCTGCATTTTAGGAAACAGCCACATCTAACCTCTTTCACCAGAAAGAAAAGGAGTACTTGTGGCTCCGTAGAGACTAACCAATTTATTTCACCAGGAGACTCCATGTCTCAGTGCTCACAGCTGGAAGGAACTTTATCTAGGGACAACCCTCAGGAAAATGCATTTGAAAGGGTTACTAGACTATAAGGAAGGGGCAAAAACACTCCAAGACTTCTCTCCCAATTTCTCTCTCACCCACCTAAGAAGACAAAGGAAATAGGTCTTTGACTTTGGGGGAGTTCCTGACCTGAAAATTTGGTTAGCACTGTTGCTGAGAACCTGTGGTAAGGATACTACCTTGCACCAAGTCTAGCTTAAGATTTAGCTACTAGAAAGCGTTTTATCATTATTTCTCTTGTATCCATTTCTGACTTTAATACCTTGTATTCACTTGAAATCTCTCTCATTGTAGTTAAATAAATTTGATTTTTTTTAATCAAAGCTAATAAAGTGTGTTTAAACTGAACTGTTTGGATAGCTCCAGTAAAAGTAGCAAACTGTTGCATACTGACCCTTTACAGGGGCAACGGACCTCTAATATCTGAACTACCCAGGAAATGGCTGAACAATGCAGAACATATATTTTGAGAGAAATTCGAGATTGGAAGTGTGTGGGGGCCACCCTGCAAGTAGTAACCAAAGCTGGTGGAAACCAGAGTGTGACTGACGGGCTGCTGAGATGAGAACTGCTGGGTCAGGGGTGTATTATACACAGACACCAGAGTTTGACCTACATGCTATTATGCTGTTTGTGAGTTGCCCAGGGTGGGAGCTACAAAAGCAAAACACTGAGGCACTGAAGGTTCTGGGGCAGGTGGTGACTCAATCTCTTACTGGTCTGGACTGCATCCTGGAATGTGACAACTGGATTTTGGGCATTGCCTGTGGAAGGGGTCCAAATTTGCTTAAACTAGCACCGGTCCTGCGGGCCTGAAAAATCCCCCCAAATCCTTGCAAAAAGCTGTAAGTTAGACAGGAATAGCAGGATATTTGTCCCATCACACACACTAAGGTCAATATTTGGAAAAGTGGATATTGATTTTAGGTAACTCAATTTTAGGGAGTCCCAAATGAAGTCAGTGGGAGCTGCAGGTGCACACCTCTGAAAATCAGGCCCAAGGTATCTCAGCTTGGGCACCCAAAACTAGTATAGCCTGTTGAAAATGTTTGCTTATATTTAAGAAGTGTATTTGCATGCCACAGGTTATAGTAAATGTTGAAAGTCTCATTTTTTTTTTAACTGGAAAATATTCTCATCCAAGGCATGTTAACAGCATACATTATTGGCACAGATCTGTACTACTATCTGTAATAGTAAACATCTCAAATGCCATTGTGATATTTACTTTTCATTGTTAGAAAGTCATAAAGAAATATTTTCCCCTACCCTATTAGTCAGTTGCTTGACAAACATTTTTATCTCCATTTCTTTGTTTCTAATTAAGCTTGATATGAACAGCGGGTCAAATTCAATGCTGACATACATGGATAAATTGTATTGACTTCAGTGGATTTGCATCTGTTTATGCCAACAGTGAATACGACCCATAGCATTTTTGTTTTCAGCCATATTTGTGGAGTAGCACCATTGATTTCTTATGTCAGAAGAGTTCTGGGCAAAGGATTAGTTTGATGCAACCTATAATACTTCAAGTGTAGCCATTTTTCACAAAGATTAAAGGATGAGACTGTGTCCTTTTCACCCATAGACTGCCCTAATATCTTTATGAGAATGAGATTGATTATCCAGGGATTAAATTCTCTTTTTAAAATTCACATGCTCCTGTAACAATCCATCAAACTCTGATCTTCCCCCATACTAATTCCACCTCACTTCTTTAATCTGATTCCCATCTGTAACACAGATGTCTCCTCAATCTTTATTGTCTTTCAATTTTTGAGCCTGGAATCAGAAAGTACCAGTCAATTTTTTAAAGTCAGGAATCTTTTCCAATTTGTAAATCATATGCAGTGAAACTGTTGCCTCATCTGCAATAGGTTCTTCTCCAGACCATGTTTCCAAACCTTATTTTTCTCCTTTGTGCACAATCAGCTTGAGGAATGTATTTACTACTCAATTTCTTCTGTGTTTTAAGCATGGTTCACTGTCGTGGATTATCAAGAACAAGAGGGGGAAAACAGATAGCTACTGCCCAGAAGTTGTTACCATCAGCTGGCAGTTCAATGGCCTATGAGAAATGAGTGAGGTGTTGTCCATCAGTTTTCCTGCTGAGATGTGTCCACATCATAAAAGCCTCCAATCACAAATTGTAGTATTTCTTACCTTTTGTGGCAGTCTCAACAGAGAGACAAATAATTAAACAGATCCTGGAGACTGAAAAACTCTCTCAGTCTTCAGTGGTTCTCTTCAAGACAGAGTGGGTGCACATTACTATTACTATTTTTAGAGTGTGTAAGTATGCTAGATACTTTAGAGGCCAAATAAGGGAGATGCATCTAATTTTAGACATGATACCATGAGTGAGAATACCACACAATACAGGAAGGAGAAAAGAGGAATGGGAGGATGAGGGTTACAATAAGAAGATTGCTGGGTTCATTATCTATTTGTCTTGATGGTATCACTTTATTTTGTTTTTTAGCTCAGTTGAACATTCCTGAAGGAGCAGATGAAAGGAAGAGGGAGAGGGGAATCAGGTTAGAGAGAGTAGAGTAAGAAGATGGGGAAGAGGGGCAGAGATAATAGTGGGTGAAGTGGGGATTAGGATTGTCTGGGATTAGGACACATGTTACCAACAGTGAAGAGGGAGTGGGCAGGTGAGTGCAATACTGTTTTTCAGTCCTGGTCTCAAAAAAGATATAACAGAAATACGATGGTATAACAGTTCAGAAATGGGTGACAAGAATGATTAGGGGTATTAAAAAAAAACCTCTTCAGTGAAGAAAGACTGAAAAGATGGCAACATGGTCTACACTTGAACGTTATGCTGGCATAGCTACATCAGTAAGGGTGTGAAAAAAACACACCTTTGACCAACATAGCTATGCCAACAAAAATCCCAGTGTAGACACAGCTACAGTAGAACCTCAGAATTACGAACACCTGGGGAATAGAGGTTGTTCATGACTCTGAAATATTCATAACTCTAAACAAAATGTTATGGTTGCTCTTTCAAAAGTTTACAACTGAACATTGACTTAATACAGCTTTGGAACTTTACTATGCAGAAGAAAAATGCTTCTTTTAACCATCTTAATTTAAATGAAACAAGCACAGAAACAGTTTCCTTACCATGTCAAATCTTTTTTTTAAAACATTCCCTTGATTTTTTTAGTAGTTTACATTTAACACAGCACTGTACTGTATTTGCTTTTCTTGTTTTGTCTCAGCTGCTGCCTGATTGCGTACTTCATGTTCCAAATGACGTGTGTGGTTGACCGGTCAATTGTAACTGAGGTTCTACTGTACATCAACAGAAAAGTGCTTATGCCAATGTAGATAATGTCATTCAGAGCAGTGGTATTCCTACATCAACAGAAAAACTCCTGTCGGTGTAGGCAGCATCTACACTTAAGGGGCTATTCCAGCCTAACTATGTAGACAGGATCCTTAGTGTTCATATACCCTGAGACTGTTCATCTTAGACAGGAAACAAATAAAAGGGTATGCAAAGTGTCCTAGATAGTATACAGAAGGTAAAAGAGGAACTTCCATTCATCCCTTTTCATAAGAAGAAGAGCAAGGGGAGAGAGAGTCAATTAAATTGAAATCTGAATACTCAAAGCTGATAAAAGGCAATAGTTTTTCACACAATGCAAATTTGACTGTGAAACTCATTGCCACAGTATACTGTTGAGGCCACGTGCTTCCCAGGATTCAAAAAAGGAGTAGACATTTTCATGGATAACAAGAATAGCCAAAGTTATAATAGTAATTATTAAAAACAAATGAACTTTGGAGGGGATATAAACCCTAATGCTTTAGGGCTTAGGTCAACATATATCTGTTGGAGACCAGAAGGAAACTTTCCTTGAGGACAGATTTTCTCATAACTGTCTACTGCAGCACAGTCCTCAGAAGTAGCTTTTACAGGTCACTGTCAGAGACAAGATAGTCGATAAGATAGACCACTGGTCTGATCCAACATAGCAGTTCCTACGTCCTATCAGCTGACAATCTGTAACAGCAGAAGAAAAACAACACAATGAACTAGAGCAGTGGTAAGAGGAAAAAGTAGAGCTTAGGAGGGCAGAGAAGTGTGGAGAGATTTTACTACTGCTGTCAGTGTAGTGGCTGTTCTGCAGATAAACTACTTCAGTTTCCAGGGTTATCAGTCCATCACCTTTTCAGTAGTACTACACTCTCTTCCCCTATCTTTGTGTGTCCATTCCACACAAAGGAGCTGCAACACAAACCACTATAAAGACCAGAGTCTTCTGCCTTTGAACTTAATGAAAGTTTTGCCATTGTCTCCAGTGGGCAGGACTGGGCCACAACAATATATAGTTTTGTTTTGTTTATTTCTCATTTTATTGAGAATCTGCACTGAATAAGGTACACAAAATAATATTTTAAGTATATCTGATCGCAGAAATAAGAAATAACAAATTATATTGTCATGCAAAATGCTTTCTCTCAGTGTGTGCCTGGTGCAACCACCACAAAAAAGGCAAATGTAAAACAAAAGATTAGAACTTAGTTAAGAGGGTGAGTACTATCAACTAGATATTGGGAGGGAGAGCATAAAGATGTTAGAGACTAATAAATTTATTTGAGCATAAGCTTTCATGGGCTATAACCAACTTCATCAGATGCATGAATTGGAAAATACAGTCGCAGGTATAAATACACAGCACATAAACAGATGGGAGTTGCCTTACCAAGTAGGAGGTCAGTCTAACAAGGCAATTCAATTAACAGTAGGATACCGAGGGAGGAAAAATTACTTTTGAAGTGGTAATGAGAGTAGGCCATTTCAAACAGTTGACAAGAAGGTGTGAGTAACAGTAGGGGGAAACTAGTATGGGGGAAATCAGGTTTTGTAATAACCCAACCACTCTCAGTCTTTATTCAGGCCTAATTTAATGGTGTCTAGTTTGCAAATTAATTCCAGATCTGCAGTTTCATGTTGGAGTCTGTTTTTGAAGTTTTTTTGTTGAAGAATTGCTACTTTTAGTTCTGTTATTGAGTGACCAGGGAGATTGAAGTGTTCTCTGACTGGTTTTTAATGTTATAATTCCTGATGTCAGATTTGTGTCCATTTATTCTTTTGCATAGAGACTGTCTGGTTTGACCAATGTACATGGCAGAGGAGACGTGAAACTGCAGAACTGGAATTAATTTGTGAACTGGACACCATTAAATTAGGCCTGAATAAATTAGGATTCTGCAAAGCGTTCTTCAAAAGGTTGAGCACCATGCAGGGAGAAGGACAAGGAGTGAGCAGACTATGGACAACCCTGCATTTGTTAGGGCAAGGACAAGGAAAACAAACATTGCCCACCCCAAGGCCTCCCCCCTTCCCCCAAGACCCACAGAGATTACCTGGGGAAGATAATACATTCCCAGTCTGAGGCTGAATTACCTAGTCCACAGAGCCTTTCTACAGAGGGAAACCTCACTTTAAAGAGGTATCAGGCAGCCACATTGGGGAAGTCCATCTGAGCTACATTACCAAGATTAGGGGTCACCAGGAATAGAGAGCCAATTTGATTTATGATTTTCTTTGGCTCCCACAAGATCCTCCACATTATTAGGTGACGCATGGGTGGGGGCACATGGGGTCATATGCCTCCCCACACACAGATTTCAGCAACATTTAGCAACAGTTAAATGTTCCGAAGGGACCCATCCAGAATGGCCGCTGCAGACTCTGGGAAAGGACTTTGGCCACCTCTTGCCAGGAGGCCAAGCAGCAAGGAGGCAGCAGCTCACCGTGGTGGCAGCACTCACCTGAGTGTCCATGCAGCATGGGGGGAGGGAGCAGCAGGGCAGCTGGCTGTGGGCTGAGGCTCCCCCACCCTCCCCCGCTACGTGGGACTGCTTCTCCTTCCCTGCTGCTGAAGTCCCAGTGCTTCCAGCTGCCTGCTTTGCAGACTGCCCTGGGGCAAACACCCTGTGCCTTTTCCCAGGGCAGAGGCTGCTCTCCCACTCCTATAGCAGGGTTAATTTTATATTTTTTTTATGTCTGGGGTAGAAAATAGTGAAGGGTACAATTCTGCCATCAGAGCTGCCTGGCAGATCTTGAATCCAATATTCTGATCTCTCTATATGTACGAGGAGCTCCCAGAATAGATCTGAGAGCAGAATTCTGCCCTAAATGTTTAAGACTAGATTGTGACTAATTTGCAGCATTAGGGAGAACACTGCACCAGGAGTAGTTCCCTGGAGCATTCTGTCAGCCTGCAGAGGCAATCAGAATATATCTGTGAGCGCTGGGGAAGTGAACACCCTTTAAGAGGAGGGTGTATGCATGCACTCCAGTTAGTGTAACTTTAGTGTAGAAGTAGGCGAAGAGCCACTGGTTGGGCTATGAATACCTCTTTGCTTGTGAGCAGGGAGTATAAACAATGGGTCTCTTGTTGATATCTCCACAATTCCTCTAGAGGTGTGGTAGTCAAGCAAATCTCCTTGTAATTTACCTCTTCCTCTTCCACACCCAACAGGAAAAGCCAAAATCTGGCCCTAAACATTCTTTTTATAAGGTATTAAAAACTATCATTGTAATTTCAAGTGAGCATTTTAACACAGTTGGTTGCATGTTAAAAGCCTTATTATCCAGAACATCTCTCAAACAATGTTCCCTCTAATTTTTGACAGGCCGTGTGCGCAAAAAATGTCTTTTGTGCAAATTGTTGTGCTTCTGTGCAAATTTTTGTGCATGCGGTGTTTCACCGTGTGCGCGGGGTTTAAGATCTGCATGCGCCTGCACACATGCACAGCTTAGAGGGAACAGTGCTCTCAACTGCAAGCACCCCAGTTACAAACCTCATCTTTAATAAGAACAATACACTCATCAAAGCTTTAGTAACAATGGCTAGAAAAAGTAACGAAAATTTTCATATGACTAATCCCATGGTAGATAAAAGAGCATCTGTAAGGGACCACCCTAAAGTGCTTTAATAATAGGGTGACCAGATTTCCTGATTATATAGGGACAGTCCCGATTTTGGGGTCTTTTTCTTATGTAGGCTCCTATTACCCCACACCCCCTGTCCCGATTTTTCACACGTGCTGTCTGGTCACCCTATTTAATAACAATGGAGAAAGTCACTAGCTGTGATGCTAGGGAAGATTTTTTAATGAATCTGTAAACTCAGGGGTTGTACTGTATGATTGGAGAATTGCTAACATAGTTCGTATTTTTAAGAAAGGGAAAAAAAGTGATCCGGGTAATTATAGGCCTGTTAGTTTCACATCTGTAGCATGCAAGGTCTTGGAAAAAATTTTGAAGGAGAAGGTAGTTAAGGACAGTGAAGTCAATGGGAAATGGAACAAAATACAATATGGTTTTACAAAAGGTAGATCATGCCGAACCAACCTGATCTCCTTCTTTGAGAAAGTAACAGATTTTTTAGACAAAGGAAACGCAGTGGATCTAATTTACCTAGATTTTAGTAAGACATTTGATACTGTGCCACATGGGGAATATTAAATTGGATAAGATGGGGATCAATAGGAAAACTGAAAGGTGGATAAGGAATTGGTTAAAGGGGAGACTACAACGGGTCCTACTGAAAGGTGAACTGTCAGGCTGGAGGGAGGTTATCAGTGGAGTTCCTCAAGGATCGGTTTTGGGACCAATCTTTTTATTACTGACCTTGGCACAAAAAGTGGGAATGTGCTAATAAAGTTTGCAGATGATACAAATCTGGGAGGTACCGCCAATTTAGAGAAGGACAAGGATACCCTACAGGAGGATCTGGATGACCTTGTAAACTGGAGTAATAGTAATAGGATGAAATTTAATAGTGAGAAGTGTAAGGTCATGCATTTAGGGATTAATAACAAGAATTTTAGTTATAAGCTAGGGATGCATCAATTAGAAGTAACGGAGGAGGAAAAGGACCTTGGAGTATTGGTTGATCATAGGATGACTATGAGCCGCCAATGTGATATGGCTGTGAAAAAGCTAATGCAGTCTTGGGATGCATCAGGAGAGGTATTTCCAATAGGGATAAGGAGGTTTTAGTACTGTTATACAAGGCACTGGTGAGACCTCACCTGGAATACTGTTTGCAGTTCTGGTCTCCCATGTTTAAGAAGGATGAATTCAAACTGGAACAGGTACAGAGAAGGGCTACTAGCATGATCCGAGGAATGGAAAACTTGTCTTATGAAAGGAGACTCAGGGAGCTTAGCTTGTTTAGCCTAACTAAAAGAAGGTTGAGGGGAGATATGATTGCTCTCTATAAATATATCAGAGGGATAAATACCAGAGAGGGAGAGGAATTATTTAAGCTCAGTACCAATGTGGACACAAGAACAAATGGATATAAACTGGCCACTAGGAAATTTAGACTAGAAATTAGACGAAGGTTTTTAACCATCAGAGGAGTGAAGTTTTCGAATAGCCTTCCGAGGGAAGCAGTGGGGGGCAAAAGATCTATCTGGCTTTAAGATTAAACTTGATAAGTTTATGGAGGAGATCGTATGATGGGATAACATGGTTTTGGTAATTAAATATTCATGGTAAATAGGCCCAATGGCCTGTGATGGGCTATTAGATGGGGTGAGATCCGAGTTACCCAGGAAAGAATTTTCTGTAGTATCTGGCTGATGAATCTTGCCCATATGCTCAGGGTTTAGCTCATCGCCATATCTGGGGTCGGGAAGGAATTTTCCTCCAGGGCAGATTGGAAGAGGCCCTGGAGGTTTTTCGCCTTCCTCTGTAGCATGGGGCACGGGTCACTTGCTGGAGGATTCTCTGCTCCTTGAAGTCTTTAAACTACAATTTGAGGACTTCAATAGCACATATAGGTGTGAGGGTTTTTTTTGTAGGAGTGGTGGGTGAAATTCTGTGGCCTGCGTTGTGCAGGAGGTCAGACTAGACGATCATAATGGTCCCTTCTGACCTAAATATCTATGAATCTTGGACTCTTTTGCACTGAGGGATTAATAGTCCTGCTTTTAGTAGTTTGCTTTCCCATTTAGTTTCCCACTAAGAGATCATCCATTAAACCTGTGAAGTGACCGGGAATTTTACATGATGATTCCCATATATTTCATGCTGATTTCTGAAGGGATATTGGATGTTGGATTCTCTGTGTGATAACTGCACCAATGTAGTAAAATCTGTTGCAGTGTACAGTTACTGTGAAACAGGGACATGGCAAAGTTGGGGCTGAGGAGTAATTAAATTAATTTCAGTTATAGCAGTTTCACCTTTGGGTGACCCTCCTTTCTGTGCTGTACAACTGAGAGGGCTACGATAGTCCACTTCAGATGGCATAGAGAACACTGGCATTGATTAATGCTGCACAACTGGTTAGAACAGGAAACAAAGAATACCACGTCTAATTGAACAACAACTATTATCAATTCAGGCTTTACTTCCTGGAAGAGAGAGAGAGAGAGAGATCTACAATTACAGTCTCTTTTCTACTTAGGTCAGGAGTTACAAGTTTTCACTTCACCAGACGTTCATTTTCTAAAAGAAAGAAGCTGCACGACCCTTATGCGACTCTGGAGGAAGAGTGACCTGTAAGAGCAGCTAATCTAAGATGATGAGCATTCACACAAATAATGAACTACCCGATAAAACAGCAGTATTTCAGATCCAGTCAAAATGAAACTATTTGTGCTGACATGCTTAAATAAGAGTAATGTGCGTAGACGATGAGAGGTATGTGAGAGGAATTGGCCAGCGTTTAGGAGTTATGAAAGATTAGAAGTTATGAAAGATCTTAGATATTATGAAAGGTTGGTTAAGGGCCTGATCCAGCAAGGTGGAGAGCACTTTCAATACACACTGAAATAAATGGCAGTTGAGGGCACTCAGGACCTCATCATAGGTAGTGCCTTAACCCTTGCAGGATTGGGCCTTAAGACACATTTGGATAAACTCAGTGTAATCAGCAGAGTAATAATAAAGAGCCAGTGAAAATTTCCTGAGGAAAATGGTAGGAAGTTTTGCTATTTGTCTGTAGATATTACAACTTCTACAGAATATTTGTGAGGTTCTTAAAATACTATTTACAGTAATTGATTAGCTTGTAGTTTTTTGTTTGTTTGTTTTTAATGTGCAGCATGAGTTGAACAGCTGCATAGCCAGTGTGAATTTGCAAAAAAATGATGGCTTATTCAACTGATACTTCTATTTACAGAGACAAGGTGGGTGAGGTAATATCTTTTATCGGACCAACTTCTGTTGATGAAAGAGACCAACTTTCAAGCCACCTCAAAACAGAAACAGAAGTTGGTTTGATAAAAGATATTACCTCACCCACTTTGTCTCTCTAAATCCTGGGACCAACAAAGCTACAACTACACTACATACCTAAAATCTTTGCAATTCAGTGTGCTGGAGGGGCTCCCCAGGGCTTATAAGAGCCTTTTGTTAAAATTCTACCACCAAATTGAAGGGAGTAGTACGATAATTTTCCTGCCTCTGATGGAGTTACCCACTTTCTGAATGCTATCAAATCCTCCCTTCTGGAGATGACTTATCCCTAAAGCTCCTAAAAATTCTTGTGAAGAGCATTTTCCCCCTTTCCCATAAACCAGATTTCATCAAGTGTCCAGGATTTTCCAAAATTGTTCTCAGGATACTTCTGAATCCACTTACTAGATTTTCACAGCAGCAGATCTGAGCAGCAAGGAAGGAAATGTTCTGCTTTGTATAAGAGTAATAAACAGATAACTGCTGAATTATAGAAGGAAAGATCCAATGTATTGTTTTGCTGTTGCCAGTCAATTAAGTAACTACAAAAATCTTCTTTCATAAATCACCTGTAAAAAAAAAAAGGCAGCCATCTTAATCCTGCTTTAAGTATCTTCTCAAAACATGAAGCCCCCTATCTTTGTAGATTTGCTTATTATTTGCCAAAGTGTAACCCAGGGTTGGGCAAACTACGGCCTGCGGGCTGCATCCGGCCTGCGAGCCGTTTTAAGCTGGCCTGTGAGCTCCTGCTGGGGAGCTGGGTCTGGGGCTTGCCCCGCTCCAGCCGGGGCGCTGGTTTGGGGCCACACCATGCGGCTCGGCCCTGCTCTCGCTCCTACGTGCTCCAATGGCCCCCTCTGGCACTCCAATGGGAGCTGTAGGGGCGGTGCCTGCGGATGGGGCAGCATGCAGAGCTGCCTGGCCACACCTCTGCATAGGAGCCGGAAAAGGGACATGCCAATGCTTCCGGGAGCCGCTTGAGGTAAGCGCCGCTCAGAGCCTGCACGCCTGAGCCTCTCCCATGCCCCAACCACCTGCCCCAGCCCTGATCTCCCTCCCGCTCTCCAAACCCCTCGATCCCAGGCCAGAGCACCTCCTGTACCTCAAACTTCTCATCCCTAGCCCCACCCCAAAGCCCGCACGCCCAACCAGAGCCCTCTCCCCATCCCGCACCCAACTTCAATTTTGTGAGCATTCCTGGTCCGTCATACAATTTCTATTCCCAGATTTGGCCCTCAGGCCAAAAAGTTTGCCCAGCCCTGGTGTAACCTGTCTTTATTAAATACTGCTGGTAAATATTCTTATCCAGTTTGTCTCAGTGTAGAAACAGAATTAGGGCCAGAACCTCGGGTCCAGTGAAGCTGTGTTCAGCACAGAAACCAAGCCAAGGAGCAAAGTGACTTTAAGCCACCTTTGCATCTCCCAAAACCTGATGGCAACTGTGGGCTTGTTCATGCATAAGTCTAAGGAGTCTTAGGACTGTTTAAACTTATGTTGCCATTGCAATAATACTTCTTAGTGGCCATTCTGTTCAAGATCATCAGAAAACAAGGTGCTCCAGCCACACTCTTCCTGCCCCTTACATTACCATGGCACTACACCAGCCAGAGATTCCTTCATGCAAGAGGAGTTTCCAGCTCCTGTTTTAGTGCAGCTCTATGTCCACTTTGACTGAGGATCTGACACTTTGAATTTAAAAGAATGTGTGTAAAGATTTGTAAAACTAATCATGAATGTCAGTATTTTCATTTCTAAGAACAAGGAGTGAGTGTGGAGTGAAGAAAGACAAAGCGACTTGGTACAAATCCAGCCTCAAATGCTACTTGTTGTTACCAAATCCTCCTGCTCAGTATGATGCCACATTTAATTGCAATAGAAAACTGGTTCCATGCAAAAGATCTGCAAAACAGGCTCAGACAGCACAAATGGGGATGTGGCCTGTGGAAACATAGCATGAAAATGCGATGCCTACATAGACAAGGTTTAGAGGTGGAATAATCATATTCAACTACAGTAGGTTCACTCTTGCTGGACCAGTGGTATGTTCATATAACACATAGAGATAGTAATGAAAGAAAAACAGATCATTCAAGATGATTAAAGAAACTTGACAAAGGCTTGTATTCACAGACCATCCTGTTCCAGAAATCTGTACATACTAATATAAATGGTCTAAAGGATTGAGGACAGAACTGGGAATCAAAAGATCCATCTTTATTACTTAATCAAAAGGAATTGCTGGGTGCTCAGCACTTTTGAAAATGAGGTCACTTATTTAGCCACCTAAATATGGATTTAGGAGCTTAACTTCAGACATTCAGTTTTGCATGGGGTTGCAATGCCACCCAAATTAGGCCTGGTCACCCCTCCATCCAGGTGGAGGGAAAGCTCAGCCAAATAGTGTTGTGACCTCGCTCATGAGGAGACTGTTCCAGTATGGCAGAGCACAGGGGAGTCTGCTGATCAACTCCTGGCAGCACCGGCTCATGCACTGTGAGATGGGTCATGGGAGACTCCCCAGCCAAGGGAGAGCTGGATTTCCAGCAGGAGAAAGGGGTGGGAGATGAGTGAGGACCTGAATAGGGTCCCTGAAGGGAGGGCAGCAGAGACCAGAATTCCCTCCCTTCCCCCAAGAAATATCTGAATTGGCCTCAATTAAAAAAGAAGACTAAGGGTATGTCTACACCAGAAACACGAAAACAGCGCAACTGAAGTGCTGCAGTTGCACCACTGTAGCGTAGACACTACAGAGATGGAAGGAGTTCTTCAGTCATTTTAGTAAATCCACCTCTCCAAGAGGTGGTAGCTAGGTCAATAGAAGAATTTTTCCATTGACCTTGCGGTGTCTACACCATGACTCAGGTCAGCTTAATTACATTGCACAGGGCGTGCAATTTTTCAGAGCCCTGAGCGATGTAGTTAAGCCGACCTAACTTTGTAGTATAGACCAGGCCTAAGTTTAGTGATTTGCAAATATGTTTTTAAAATTCAAATATGCTCACGACTCAGGCATTTTTGTAGTCATTTCTATTCCAACTGAAATCAATGTTTCTGAAAGCTCGTCAAATTGACAATCCTGGAAAATGAAGCCCTTTAACCACAGAACAGGTACAGAATGACAGTGAAAATTTCCACAACTCTTTTCCAAAAAACATATTAGTATGATTCCTTCTCTGTGCTCATTCAACCCTGTGGCCATCTTTGATGAGATTACCAACATCTTTCTTCTAGGATGTGGTCTGGAACTACCAACTCTTTTCATTTTAGCTGCTGAACAGATATTTGATGGTAATAACTTTTGTTCACAATCAGCTAGACGGGACTGATAACTAGAGGCAAAGTCTCTACGTCTCATTAGCAATTTCTTGAGCTACTGAGTCTTCCAAAAGTAGTAATTTGGAAAGGCCTTATTTTGACATCTAAAGCAAAAAATTCCAGAATATTTTATTTGAACTTCTTGCTTGACAGTGTAAATATTGTAATGAACTGGCTATCTTAGGAGTGTGTATTAGTGTGTGCCTCTGCCCTCTACTAGATGGTATCTGAACTACTCATCCTTGTGTCATAGGTCCTCTCATGTTTTTAGCTTACAGAGATTTTCTTTTAGTTTATGTGGTAGAGGCCTGCGTTATTGGACCAGTAGGTTTTTAGTTCTGTTCCTCTTGTCATTGGGAAGTTCCGGCGGACTATGTTGTACAACCATGACAACTCAGAAATCTACATAGCCATATATTTGTTACAATACACACATTTTAATTCTTCAATACTGAAAAATTCTTGGACATAATGGCTGAGCCATCTTCTTTTCTCTCTATTCCCCTTGCTTACATCTCCTAATTTTCCAGAATAATTCCCCTTTCTTCTATAGGGTGGTTAATGTTATATTACAGCCTAAAACATGAGCATTTGCTAAACAGCTAAAATAATGGCTGTCTACCACTCAGTATCTGTCCTTTATTTCTGATTTATTAGCAAGTATATAATCCTTAATGTGAAAGGGTATCTCTTTCACAACAGTCAAACTATATAGGCAGAACAGACAGCTGAGTAGTGCAGCAAAATATTTAGGGAGTGTTGATTGTCTAATACATACATTATCCACTTTGTCTAGGGAGCAAATACCTGGGGACCTGGTAAAGCCACAGAAAGGTTGTTTTAAATAGCTTTGCATATAAAATATAGTAGAAATCCTACTAAAGCTAACTGTATATCTAATAAGATTTTTATACTAAATACATGACTGATTCTAACATATTTGCTGAGGATTTATTATGAAAGACATGTATTTATAATAGAATGTCTACAATATGTCCATCCAGCAATGTTCTTAGAGGGTTAACATTTAAAAACCATAAATATATCTTACAAATATAGCAAACTCTTAACTCACCTGTCAGGAGGTGAGTCAGGAACTCACGCCCTTCTCAAAAGCCTGGGGAAACAGATAGGTATTGCAGTACCCTATGCCCAGAGACCAAAGGGGTGGGGAAAATTAAAGGGTGAGAGCTGGACCAAAAGGAGACTGCTATAATTAATAGACATTGGGGGACAAGAGACCTCATCTCAATTAACAGGGAGCTGGGGATCAACGAGGGGTTCAGATCATCAAGGTTATACACTATTAGATTCAGTGGATATTAATCCTTGGCATGCCCATCCCTGCAACGAGAAGAGCGAGTGTTGCTGTCCGAGCCTGTCTTCAAACTGCCCAAAGGGGAGCGATTACGTGCAGCTCGCAAGGTTTATGAGCCAGGTGGCAGATCAAAGCAAGTAACCACTATGACTTGCTCTCCGCCACATCCTGTTCTCCACATCACTGAGTCATCGCTAGCGAGCGGCTTACCTCCCCGGCAGCCGCTAGAGCTCAGACTAGCAGCCCGCAGGCTTTGAGCGGCAGCGGCAGCCCGCCCAGCGGCAGCGTCAGGCCCTCTCGCCCCGCTCCCGCCCGCAGGCTGTGTAGGCAGGCTCTCATCGCAGAGAGGCGGCGCTGGGGGAGAGAGTGACAGGCGCAGTCCCTCCCCTGTGCACCGGGGAGAGGAGGAAGGGGGAAGAGAGGAGGGAGGAGGAGAGAAACAGGAAAGGCGGGGGTAAGAGGGTGGAGGAGAGCGGGGGAAGGCGGCAGCAGCACGACAGACACCCGGCCGCTGGAAGCAGCAGCCTGCGGCCGCTGGAACCTGCCCGCTCGCCTCCCCCCAGCTACAGCAGCCCGGGGCAGAAGCCGGAGGAGTTTCCGAGCAAATCTGATTGGTTCGGGGGGAGCTGGAGCGCGGCCCCCACCCTCCCACTTGTGCTCCTCGGCAGTGAGATTGACAGGGAGCCCCGGGAGCTGCCTGCCGCGTGCGGTGCGCAGGCGAAGAGGCGGCGGGAGGAGCTGCGATGAAGCCCTGCGAAGAGGAGGGGCTGGGGGCTGCGGCCGGAGGGGACCCCTGGCAGGAGTGTATGGAGGTGGCGGTGCAGCTGGCGCGCCGGGCTGGGCAGGTTAGCAGCAGCAAGAGCCTACACTGGTACCTGTGTACTTGCCTCGGTCTTCTCCCTTTCGCCGGTCACAGCTTGGGGATAGCCTGTGTAGGGGCAAGCTAGAGCCATTCCTTTCCTCTCCCTCCGGCTGGCCCCTGCCTCAGAAGGGTCAGTCACTTCCTCCTCCCAGGGTCCGCGCTTGCGAGATCATCTGCTCAGTGTATCGCTCACGACTTGTGCTGCAGTCCGAAGAGAGTTTTCAGCGGCTCCCTCCTTACTACGGTCCCCCAAATCAATGCCCCTTCCCGGGGCGAGGGTTAATAATGCTGCTGGAGTGGTAGGGACAGTCCCCTGCTGTGTGCTGCAGGCTACACTCCTGTGCGCTCAGCACTCTAACCTGTTGGTGCCTGCGATGTTAATGAGGGCGGGCGAAGGCACAGGCCGGGGGAAAGAGTTTCAGGAAATATCTCCGAAGGGGAGGGGATTAGTGTAAGAGTGGGTAAGGGAGCCAACTGGGTCAGGTCAAATGCAGTGGCAAAGCTGCCTTACTTTTATCCAGATCACAGAAAGGTCCCTTCTTCCCCGAATGATCAATGACATACATTTTAAACACCTACAGGAACGTTTTAAACATTTACACTAAGCATCTGTAAAAGCTTTTTGTAAAGCATATTGGCTATAGATGTTTTTGTTGAGGTAGAGACCTGCCATTGCATGCTGCACATAGGCTGTTTTCAGCATCGTGTTGAATATCAATGAGGGATTTTGCTTTCATATAAACTGAGCATAGGTGATATTTTTAGCAAACATGTAGCAATGCGGCCTTTAGTCTATCCTTTTGTTTTGTTTTTGAAGGCTTTAGCAGCCTGAACTGCAAATATTCAAGCCACCAGTCATGATCTTTTAGATGAATGGTATCATAATAGAGTCTTCTTGAGGAAAAATGAGAATGGCAGTAACGATATACTGTCTTAGTAGGGTATTTAAGGGAAATTCCACCATGAGAGTGTTTGTTTTTTTCACATTTCAAAATAATTTCAGAATGTATCTAAAACAATGGTCTATGCTTAAGAGGTGGTTTGGGGTGTTTTGTTTTGTTTTAATTCTCCAATTAGCAGTATGAAGGAAAAGGCTCCAAACACCCTCCAGAAGCAGACATATTTTGTGACTGGGAGCATTTTTTATATTTAAAAATAAGATTAGAATGATTTGTCAAAGCAAACATGTTTTAATGTATTTTCTTTCTTAGTAAGAAAAAAGAATCTTCACATGTATTACTGGAATATTATTAGTGTAGACAGTGATAACAATGTTAGATTATGGGGAATTGAGGATACTTCATATCATGATGCATATATCCAAAATATGTTATATTTCCATTTTATAACAGGTAGGGTTTCTCTCTGAGAAAGTGAGTGTGTCAAAGATATTAGCTGCATGACTGATTTCTTGCCTGCTATTCTTGCTTTGCCAGTCTTCTCACAATGGGGCAGATAATGATCTCACACTGGTGTAAATCTGGAGTAACTCCACTTCAACAAAAGTCACTGCAGATTTACAGTGGTGTAAATAAATAATGGTCAACATTTAAAAGTTTTGTCAGCATGGCTATGCCGGTTAGAAGTGTTAAAAAAATCACACCCCTAAGCAAAACAGGTATGCCAGAAAAAGCTATAATATAAATGTAATTATACCGGCCAAAAAGTCTTTTTGCTCTTATAACTCACTCTGCACAGGAAAGTGATTTAGGATATCATAACAAAATAACTCTTTTGCCATATCACCATCTCCATGGGGCAGAGGGGGGAAAACAACAAATCCCATTCAGAGTGGTAGCCGTGTTAGTCTGTATCAGCAAAAAAACGAGGAGTATTTGTGGCACCTTAGAGACTAACACATTTATTTGGGCATAAGATTTTGTGGGCTAAAACCCACTTCATCGGATGCATGCAGTGGAAGATACAGTAGGAAGATATATATACACAGAGAACATGAAAAAATGGGTGTTGCCCTACCAACTGTAATGAGACCAATCAATTAAGGTGGGCTATTATCAGCAGGAGAAAAAAAAATTTTGTTGTGATAATCAGGATGGCCCATTTCAAACAGTTGACAAGAAGGTATGAGTAACAGCAGGGGAAAAATTAGCATAGGGAAATAGTTTTTACTTTGTGTAATGACCCATGCACTCCAAATCTTTATTCAAGCCTAATTTAATGGTGTCCAGTTTGCAAATTAATTCCAATTCTGCAGTTTCTCGTTGGAGTCTGTTTTTGAAGTTTTTTTGTTGGAGAATTGCGAATTTTAGGTCTGTAATTGAGTGACCAGGGAGGTTGAAGTGTTCTCCGGCTGGTTTTTGAATGTTATAATTCTTGACATCTGATTTGTGTCCATTTATTTTTTTGCATAGAGATTGTCCAGTTTGGCCAATGTACTTGGCAGAGGGGCATTTCTGGCACATGATGGCATATATCACATTGGTAGATGTGCAGGTGAACGAGCCTCTGATGGTGTGGCTGATGTGATTAGGTCCTATGATGGTGTCCCTTGAATAGATATGTGGACAGAGTTGCCAAATTCTTTTTAGTGGCCTTAGGTCAATATCTGCCTCAACCTGAGGGTTAGGGTATCTCTACACTGGATAATAAACCCAGATCTGTTGCAGACCTGTTCTTTCTAAGCTCATGCTTGAGCATCCACACTTCATTGCTGTTCAACTCTCATATGCATGCCAGCAGGTACACTCTACACTATGAAGACCCAAGTCAGACCTTGCTGTTTCTTGGGCATAACTCAGGGTTCTTAGCACCTTTGGTAGCCATGGCTGCTTTAGGGCTTGATTCATAGTGTATTGTGAGAGAACATGTCTGTTCATCCCTTGGGACTTGACCAGAAGTGGTTTGACCCCACCAATGCATCCAGCAGAGCCATTTGGGTGTGCATGCTCCTAGCAGCCAGAGTTGTCAACATGGATCACCACCCAGTGGAAGAACTTCTCCAGGTCATGCTTTCACTCCTATTTCGGGCGTCAGCCAAAGCAACTGTGAGAAGCTGGTGGACATTTTGGCAATGATATTTGTCCTACCAAAGGCATCTATCTCTTGGAGGGGAGTACTGAAATCCAGATTATGGATTTCTGGTAGAGGTTAATCAGAACTACATCTTCCGGGGCTTCCTTTTTGATTTTTTGTTTGTTTGTTTTGGGTTTGTTTGGGTTTTTTTGTTCGTTTTGGTAAAAAAACCTTAAGAATGAGAATTGGAAGAGGAAATTCATCAGTCTCCATGGAATTATTTTTTAAAAGGACATGGTATTCTTCTTCTCAAAGATGTTCATCCATGTTTAGTAGAGGAGTCCACAAACATATCCACCAATGGGAATTTTGTAATATACTTTTGGAATAGTGTCTCCAAAAGTCAGAAGGCTGATAAAGAAATAGTTAGATGAATATGTGTGTCATTGTGATGCTGTCTCATCTGGGAATGTACCTGCTCCAAGTCGTGGATCTCATGCCTGAACCCATTGCTTAGCTCTGTTTACGTATATTACATATGTGGGTCTGTGCCATGCAGTTTGGATCCGGTTACTTTGGAGGGGCATGGGAGCATGGATTAGGTATTTTTAGTTTGGGCCACTTGCTGTGCATAACTGGCCTGTATTGAAATCCCTCCCCATCCACTATACCTGTAACCATGGACTTTCTCACATCTTTTTTCTATTGAGTACTCTTTTACCAAATCTTGCTTACTTTATTCATGTAAGTAAACCTATTAATTTAGGGATGACTTTTTGCATAAGTTAAGTAAGTGAAATTAGGACCTGTTGTGGGTTGTGGTTGCTCTATAGTATTCCCTGCTGGCCAAGCATGGCAGGGCAGGAAGTCCCTGCCTCAGTTTCCCTCCCAAGGGTGGATTTTCTTGGCTTGCCAGACCTCTCCGGTTTGTTCTGGAGAGGTGGCTTAACCCTCCAACCAAATAACAAAACAAAACTTATCCCCTTCCAGAGTAGGGAAAGTCCAACTGAAAAAGTCCCAACAAACAAAAATGTTCTTCTGCCCTTGAGGGGCTTCTCTTTAGTTCACTCTCTGGGCCCTGTTCCCAGCCCTTTTGTGGGTTAGCTGGGCGAGTCTTTCTGGCTCTGGGATCAAGCATTCAGACCCCAGTCTGATTCCCCTGGAGTACTATTCTCAGCCTCTCCTGGGCTCTGTTCCTTGTGTCCTTCCCTGCTCTGGTATAGAGCAGTGGGACCCCTAGAGTATTTGGCCTCCTGCAGACTAGGGTTCAGGGCCTTCCACAGGAAGTTTCCTACTCATAGTGGCTCCAACTTCCAGATGGATCTCTCTGAGTCCTTTCATAAGGCCCAGATGTCCATTAAGCTGTCACATGGGCATGGCCCTCCTTAGTGCCACCCCCACAGGCTCGGAAGCAGCTAATTAATAATGACACTGATGTGGCTGGCCTCATCTCCTCATTTGTTTGATATGACAACAGTACTGGACAATATGGGTCTGATCTACTCTCATTTATGCTGTGTAAGTTGGGAGACACTTCAGTGAAGTCAATGGAGTTACACCAGTGTAAAACCAGGGGTATGTTGACACTAGAAACGCCACAGTGGCACAGCTGCATCGCTGCAGCTGCGACACAGTAGTGTGGACACTTACTATAGCAGTGGAGGGGTTCTTCCCTTGCTGTAGATAATCTGCCTCTCCAAGAGGTAGCTAGCTTGACCTAGCAGTGTCTACACCAGGGCTTAGGTTGGCTTAATTACATTACACAGGATGTGAAAGTTTTCACAACCCTGAGCAATGTAGTTAAGATGACCTAACTTTGTAGTGTAGACCAGCCCCTGACATGAGGTCCTGAGAGAAAAATTAGGCAGTGTATATGTCTAGCATGTTAATGTTTCCATGTTTTTAAACTGGAAAAGGAGAAAGCTGCCAGTCAGAGAATTAGGTGTGAAATCCTGGCCCTAGTGAAGTCAGTGGCAAAACTCCCATTGATTTCAGCAAGGCCAGGATTTCACCTTACGTGTTTTGTCTTTCTGTGACATTTTTAGGGTATCTTGTAGTGAAACATAGGCAGGCTGATTTTAAAGAATAATTTTATTTTGGGGAATTACACTTTTCCAAATGTAATTTAGGGTTTGATTGTGCCGTTAAGGCACAGCCCACTTTGGGGGGCATTGCAGAGCCATGCTGCCGGGAGGCACAATCCCTCCTGAAACTCGGGTGTGCCAGGCAAGTGCATACCATGCACCATCTCTTAGGAGGTTATAGCATGATCCCCCCTCCACAGCCAGGCTGTTCTATTGTCTGGTATGGAGGGAGATGGAGCCATGGCCCTGCCTCCTCTCCATTCCCTTTAGGATGGCTTGAACCCCCAAAGATGCTAGGAGGAAACAGTCTGTCGGTCCCCTACACTGACACCATGATTATGTCAGACTCTTAAGCATGCGCTCCTTGCATCTTCACTTCTCTCTGCCCTTTGTGCAATCACACAAGGGCCAGGCTCAGTCTACCTCTTAGTTGTGCAATGAAGTGTTGATATAACTTGTCTAAATTACTGGGCTGTTAGATCAGCAACTAGGTATTATCTGTCCTTCCATATAAAAATAAACAGTTAAAATATGGACAAACTGTAATCTAATGAGGATGATTAGTGTAATACTTGTATAGCCAATATATAATTACTCAGCTTGGTTGCCAGTTTCATTATACCATACTGAGGGAGGGGGAGATAAGCTATTTTTATTTCATTGACACTTTTTGTGGTCGCTGAATAGATTTCACTTAATCTGTCATAGCTCTTGTCATCTTGAAGGACTCTTATGTAACTCCACACCTAATTTGGAAGACTAGCCAAATGCATTAGGTGATTATATTTGTCCATTTAAAATGTGTTTATATCAAGTGTTCTGTAAAGAGTCAAACCTAATGGGATTCTGTTGTACATACTCTGAATTTTTTTCACCATTTGGCCTGATTCTAATACTTTTACCCAGGTTTGAAGCACTTTACTCCACAAGTAGTCCCACTGACTTCAGTGGACTGGTGGAAGGTACTATTCAGCATAAAGAATCTGGCCCAATATGAGATACTTGATAAACTTAATTTTATGAAGAACAAATGCTGTTCTGTTTATAATGCAAAAAATGTAATCATGGTGAGCGAGGTTATGTCTACACTACACTTACAGTGCATTGAGGCGGTGATCGATCTACCAGGGGTCTTTTTAGGGGGTCTAGTGAAGACCCACTAAATTGACCGCAGATCGCTCTCTCGTTCACTCCGGTACTCCACTGGAACAAGAAGCATAAGGTAAGATGAGGGGAGAGTTTCTCCCATTGACCCAGCACGGTGTAGACACCGTAATAAGTCAACTTAAGCTACGTTGACTCCAGCTATGTTATTCACGTAGCTGGAGTTGCAGAACTTAGGTCGACTTAAACCCATAGTGTAGACCAGCCCCTAGTTTCTGACTTGGATTTCAGGTGCAAGTGAGTGAGATGGAGTAAGAAACCCTCTCCTTAGCAATTTATGCAGCCTTGGATCTGTTGTCCATATAAGAGGACCAGTGGGGATAGGCAGAAAACTGGCGGAATATAGGCCACACCCCCATACACACACCCAACCCCTAACCAGAGTCATTTGAGCCCATACAGATGGGGTAGTAATTTGCTGTTGGCACATCCCAGGAGCAAGGAGAAATCAGGAAAGGAACTGAGACTCAGAGGTGTGTCTCTAAGTCAGAATGCCTGTTGGGGCAGACCAGTTTATGTATTTACTACTCCTTGCTCAGTCTACCCTGTGTTAAGAAAAAATAAAAAAAGTTTAATAACATCATACAAATGATGTTAATTCACATTAATTAATTATTAATTAATTCTTAATTCACTTGACTGCCTTATGACTTTTTGGGGACACCATGTGAGTGGTAATTTAGGCCCTAATCCTGCAAATACTTACCCATAATGGTAACTTTACACATGTGAGTGAGCCCATTGAATTTGGAATCGTTCACATGTGCACAGTTACTCACGTGTAAAGTTCTTACAAAGTTGGGGCCTTGATATCATGCGCACCCAAGGCACTAAGTTAGCTAAAGAGGTTCAATATCACCAGGAAAACAGGGCAGTACGTAAGGAAATAAAGGAGTTTTCTTGAGTAAACATTTTGCCATGTAATAAATAATACAAAACCTTTTGTGTATCATCTTCAAAGGTAAAAATATTAATTAATCTTCAAACTCCTTTGTGAACTAGGGAAGTAAGTATAACTTTAATTTTACAGCTGATGAAACTGAGACAGAGAGGTAGTGGGACTTTTGTAGGCCACACAGCAAGTCATGGTCCAGATTATGTAAGGAGGGTCACTGTAACAGCTGAGTGTGTGAAACCCTTCAAATGTAATATTTTTGCCCATGATAAACACGTGATAGAAATGTAATAGGAATTTGAAATTTCCTGGTTTCCTGTCCCATAAACAGTACTGTAGAACAAACTGCCATTTGAACATAAATGGCTTTTCTTTAGGTAGGTTTAAAAATACTTGAGTGCCGGAGTTTTGATTGAAGGATTTTAAAAAATGTATGCCGCAGGAGGAGGTTGTGTTTAGAATATTAATTTGATGTTGCTTTTTATTTTGTGTAGTTATGTACAAATCCAGCAATTACATTAATTTGTCTTTGCTATCACTGACTTTTGATGTCCTTTCTTAGATTCTTCATAATTGTCTTTGGTTAAAAAAATAAGTTAACTGTTCCTCCAAGAGAAACATTGTCATCATGCCTTGTTTCATAATGTCTTGCCTTATGAAGTAAGAAACAGAAAGAGGTGAAAGTAGGAAGAAGTTTGTCATTCATAATTTTCCCATTTGTGAATTTGCATCAAATTTACTTTAGTTTAGTATGGCTTTCAAGTTTTTTTAAAACATAACGCCAAGATTTAAAAAAAACACAGAGCCCAGTGTTAGACTCCTAAGTCCATCTTTAGGGACTTAAATAAGTGGCCAGTTTTTGAAAGGTGCTGAGCACCCAGCAACTTCCACCAATTTCACAGGTTGCTGAGCATTTTTTAAAATCAGGCCACCTATTTGGACTTAGGATGCTAACACTAGACACCCATGTTTGAAAATCTTGGCCTAAATCTGATATAAAAGGCTTCTTTTCAGAGCCGAACTAGTATGGTTTACATTTTTTGTCACTTTTTAAAATGTAAGAGGTGGGAGTTTTGTCCCTGTAGTTTATTTTTTTTTTAATATTGTATTTCCGATGGAGAGGAAAGAAAACTCCTGAGCCCCAATGATCCTCCTTTTTCCCCTGTGTCTCTCCCCTAATTTTTCCAACCCTTAATGTGCCCATCTGCTGCGATCCTTCTTACTATACTTGTGGCTGCATCTCCTTCCAGAGCTTGTCAATGACTTTCCTGAACTAGCTAGAGGGGTTGTTATGGAGAGATGCAAGGTGCTTCCTACCCTCATTGCCTCGGTAGTATTCACCACCCCTGAACAAATAGGATGGATTTTGAGTCCTAGAACTGGATCCCTTCCCTTGCATGGTAGCATACTGATGTGTCAGTAGATTTCAGGGTCAGCAATGAACCTCATGTGTAATATATTTTGTTAGTGTCTAGGGAAGGAATGTTAGAAATAAATCTGATGTGTGTACTCCTCTTTCAGATTATTAGGAAAGCTCTTACAGAGGAAAAACAAGTGTCTACAAAAACATCTGCAGCTGATCTTGTGACAGAAACTGATAATTTTGTGGAAAATGTGATTATTTCTGCTCTGAAAGAGAAGTTTCCCTCCCACAGGTAAGTATCTCTAGAGAGAGAACTGCCCAGGACCCTGTCCCATGCACAGGCCATCTATGTGACCATCATTAAAAGGGAATTTATAAAATTCAGTCCCTAGATGTCAGATGAGATCTGTACAAATTAATTCACCTCCTAATAACTGAATTCAGTTTTAATACCATTTAGATATCACTTTGTTCGGTCTCCATTGTTAAGAATTAATAAATGTCTTGAATTTAAGCAGATTGGACATTTTTATAAGCTTCCTTGCTTTAAAAATTTCTGTTCCAGATTCACTTTCATGTTGAAAATTACTTTGAGAAGGTACACGGTATTTTTCATTATTGGCCACATAGTATTATTGCTCTGGATTAACTTGAGTCATCATCTGAGGTTTTGAATATTTTGCAACCTTTTTTGATTTAATTAAATAGTAATATAACACTTTTGTCACCAGTAAGGGTCTCTAAATTAAACTATCCATAGGAAAGCTTAATTTGTTCACAACTCTGTATCTTTTTTTCTTCTGCAATATAATACTAAGAATATTTCAACAAATGGACATTTGAATCAAGCTGCATTCAGTTATCACTAAGGCTCCAGTCCTGCAAACGTTCATGTGAATAATTTTGTTTTACTCACGTGCATATATGTGTGTGCAGGATCTGGACTGAGTATAGCATTAAGTCACATTTAGCTCTTCTAGCATCTGGAGGGTTCTCAGGTGAGAAAGAGTCAAGGAGGCTTAGCTCCTTGAAGCATCAGGATCCTAGCCTATAGAAAATAAATGTTGTACAAGTTACTGCACAGGATTTAATTGTAGGTCTTAAATATGAATTCGGGTACGTGATTCCTCTTGAGCTATTAAGGGCATTCTGAGAGTAACCCCCTACAAACAGAGGCCATAAAATGATACATTTTAGCATATTCACATTGGAAATAAGCTTTATAAAACACGTCTTAAGATTGGCTTGACGCACACAATATATATATACTTTACAACTGATTTTCACATTTTACTTTAACCTATGAGGGTAAAATTCAGCCCTCTGCAGAGAGCCAATACAAGGCCTGTGTGCTACTTAAATCTACATAAACTCTCTACATCTACTTTAAGTGGGTTTTAAGTGGCACATAGTGTGACGGGATCCCCCCGGAGTGCAGCCTGGGACTGTGGGACCGCTGTGCCCCCTTAACTCTCTCCAGCCTGGGCTGTCTCTCACAGTGCCTTGCTAGTGACCAGCAGCAAGCCCCTCCAGGTGCTGTGATCACTCAGCACAACAGCATGCGGAGCCCCACACTCAGCTGGATTGCATAAATGCTCCCAGAGCCACTCATGAATCACACAGAGAAAGACACCAGCCAGATACCCCCCCAGCTCCCAGTACTGTACCTCAGTCTAATTCCTTAATTGGTTCACCACTTCAACAATGGAAAGTGAACATACACCAGCCTTTGTCAAGCCTGAGCAGATTTGCCCCCATACTTCGTACCAACTCACTGGTAAAGATAAACCGTTAAAATCTATCTTTTATAGTCAATAAATTTGTTTAAGTGATATTAAGTGATAGGCAAAAAGTCAGAGTTAGTTACCAAAATAAAATAAAATATTAGCACGCAGTCTAAACTTTCAACCCTATTAGACTGGGCAATATCTCAATTAAGCAGTTTTTCTCACCCCACGGGATATTGCAGTCCTTAATATTCAGGTTTGTTCCTTAAACCTGAGCCAATCTCCTCTGTTGGAGTCTTGTCTTCTTCTCAGTGTCTTAGTTGCTTGCAGCATAAGTGGGGGCAGCAGAAAAGGCCCAGTATGTGTCCACGCTGTGTGTTTTATACCCTCACTCTATGTGCTTGGAAAACACAAGTCCAGGCGTGACTGGGGGCATTGCTGAGTCTCTCCCAGTAAGGTTGAGCAATTCCCCTGGTGTGGCCTCATGCAGGTGAGTCATTGCATTGTAGCTCCCTTGCTGGACAATGGCTCTTGGTGGGTTGGACGTTGGTTACTTTCCTTGCTGTTGCCTCTGGGGAGCGAATATCTTGCTGATTCCCCAACTTACAGCATGTTTTAGTGACAACCATACAATACAATTCTCATAATTTCACATGCATTAATGGTACACATATATGGATAGAGAAATGACTTTCGGCAGATCGTAACCTTTCCCCTGATGCCCTACAAGGCATGGCTTATATGTAATATCACAATTATATACAGATGAGGAATATGGGGGCATTACAGGGTGCTCCCCCAAGGCACAGAACGTCACACATCGGCCTTGCACTAGCCCTTTACATAGGGATGAATTTGTGTCCAATTCGAAAGAATTCAGCTAACATGGAACATATTTAAAAACCTGATCCCATTGGTCATGTTGGTGTAAAAGAGCGTACTTAATGCAAAAATCACTGAAAAAGTTATAGTCTAAGTACGTCTTTCTAAATATCTGTTATGTGATCCAAAACTGTGGCAATACTACACAGGTTAAGTGTATAATATTTGGTTGCAGTTCTTAGGCAGCGCTCAAATACTACTTCTTACTTAGTATTTGAGTAATATTCCATCTGAAGTCCTGCTTGCTGTGCTGTTGTCTGTTCTGTAAAATATCTGAGTTTTCCTTAATGATCTGCCAGAGGAAGCGTAGCATACAAGGCTCATGTAACATGAGCATAAAGTGTTGGAAGCATTCATGCTATTTAGAAGAGGAATAGCAGGTTCAAGGTCAACATAGCCCCAGAAATGGAAGTCTCCAACATGATGACAGATTATTAACCCTTTACAGTCAACTTCCACTTTGAATTTGGCCATGCATTTTTCCTAGCTTCTGATTTCATAAGGTAACTCAGTGAATTAAGCTTTCTTTAAGACCATTCGGGTTCTGTTTGTTATATTTTGGCCAGGGTTCGTATTGAACCAAATGCATATTTCAGTTTACAGAATATAGGCTTCTGTCTGAATAAAGGTCCATCTTGCAACATATGAGATACAGTAGCTAGGTACAAGGGTCAACAGCAAAGAAAAAAAATTAAAATTGACTTCAGTACAGGTTTATGTGCTCTGTCTCTCCACTAATCTGGCTTTCAGGGACATCCAACCAAGATTTTTAGATTTTTTTTATTCCCCTTTTCTTAAATTATTTTGGTTCAGGTACTTCTTAGTTTAAAAAGGAAATTATAGTAGTGACAAACATTACCAGAGTTGTCACTGCAATTAGAGATATTTGTGATGTGGCAGAACGATGCAAAATAGTGGTAAAGTTTGTTAAAAACTCATTTCTATGCTGGATGCCTCAATTTTCATTTTGCTTTACTGATTCTTTAAAAATAAAGAATTTCAGTATTTTATTTCAATACTTTCATGGATTTTAATGAGCATTTTCTAGATGACAGATTTTTTTAACTTTCTTTTTCTAATGTAACAATATACATAGTGAAATGGTTTGGACTCTTCACAAAATGAGGCACTCATCATGTAGTTCTCCATTAATGACATTATTCTTACCACAAAGCAGTATCTTTCAATGCTATGTTATGCACTATGGGCTGATCCTGCTCCCATGGAAGTTAATGGGATTGTTACCATTTACTTCACTGGGTACAGGATCATACTATATGAGTCTGACCTTGCACCAGTGACGTCAACGAGACTGAGCTTTGCCATTGACTCAGATGGGCATGAGATCAGGCTCTGTTCCTGGACATTTATTTTTCCTGTGTTAAGTCCTTTTAAAATCACTGGTGCCAATAAACTTTTAGTTACAAAGGAACTTTCCTGCATTACAAAAGTTTTGACAGTAAATACTACATATAACTGGTCTTATACAGCAAATACGTTTCTTTGCCTTCCTTTTCCCCCTCACCATGCTCTCTTCTCCCTCTGTCCCTCCCTATCAAAGCCCTGAGGGTCCTTTCTCTCCTTGCCATCACTCACTTCAGTGCTCCAACCCTTTTTCTAGACCGCCCACAAGGGCCTGAACTGTAGCCACCATCTTCCCAGCGAAAGAAGACTGTCACATCAGAGATAGTCATTGTCTCTCTCTAACATTGTTTACTCTCGAGTACCATGAATCTGTTGCCTCCCTTTCTCTCCACAAGGCAGAATGCTGCTGCCATCACGCCATTCCAATCCCCAAGGAGCCCAACGGGCAAGAGTTGAACATGCCCCATGCCGGCAGCTCCTCCCATGTGGCTGTACCACCCCCAGCCCCGACCCCGTCCCTTCCACGCAGTTGTCTGCGTGACTGCCTCTCCTGTGTGGGGTCTGTACAGCCATGCCGGAGGACAGGACTGGGGGCAGTACAGCTGCACCAGAAGAGCTGCCAGCATGGGACGCTGGCTCCTGGGAGCGGCAGCCCCATGTTCTTCTCCTTTTGCTGCTGCGGGTCCCGGGAAAGCCCTGCGGTTCCACGGATACCGATTTATATCTGCAGGTATAATATAAATTTGTATATATAAATATACAATATATATATAAATTTGTATCCACTGAGAGTTCTACAAATATCTAAATGATTTTATGTGTACCCCTGGTTGTGAACCACTGATCTGGGGAATGGCAAAGATAACTAAGGCAGGTGGGACAGATGCCAGAACTGGATGTACAATTCCCAGGAAAAGGAAAACCGAAAATCTATTGAAATAAATTATGACAGGACAGAAAATCAGCAGCTCAACCTAGAATTCAATGGGCTCCTGTAAATTTTCTATTTTTTTTTTTAATTCTGTTGAATTACTTTGAGTCTTGTGAAGAGGAAAGTTCAGCTTTGTGAACTTTTTACTTCCTGATCTACTCTGCTATTACAAATTATGGTAAGAGTTCTAAGGCTGTATTATTTCCTGGTGAATTCACCTGCAAGGAATGGAGGGTACATTTGGCAGCCTGCATTACTTCCTGCTAGAAGTGGGCCTGAGCTGCCAAATTGCAATCCAGATCTAAACTTCTGCCAAAGTTGGGGTTTCATTTCAGATCCATCTCTGCATGCGTTACGTGACTTTGAAGTATGTATCATTAACATATAGGGAGGGGGAACTAGAATGGGATATTTTTAATATACCGTAAAAAACAATTTTCTGACCTATCTTTTTAGAACTTCTTTACAAAGTTTCTGTGAGTTGGTGGGTGGTAGCGGTGGGCTTTTTGTGCGGGGTTGTCGGTGGGTTTTTTTTGTTTGTTTTTGTTTTTGTGGTTTTTTTGGTAACTAAACTTTAAAGATACATGACTGTAACAATAGTCCCCAAAAGCCAAGAAGGTGGAGTTGAGTTTTCTGAGCATACTTTACTCCATGTCAAATATAGGTTTATTGGAGAAGAGTCCACTGCTGCTGGTTCAAAATGTGTCCTCACTGACAATCCTACCTGGATTATTGATCCCATTGATGGAACCTGCAATTTTGTGCACAGGTAAATTCAGTAACATGGAGAATTGTTAAAATATAGTAACTTCAGTTTCTCATAAATCCTTCTCTCCCTCCATTACTGAAATATATTTCACTGTGTTAAGTTTGCTCAATTTACACTTACCTATAGCATTATATTTATAAACTGAGGGGCTTTCTCTGAACAAGACCTGCAGGATCCATTCCAGTATCTTTTTATATCTGATATAGTATTTGATACTCCTGGGAGAATTCTGCTCCACTGCGCATGTGCAGAATTTATATCGCCCACAGATTTCTTTGCTTCCCCGCAGAAAAATGACTTTCTGATGGGGAAGCAAAGGGAAGCCATAAAAGCCGTCATACGACCCACCCCAGCAGTAAGTTTTGGGTGCCCAGGGCAGCCGGCAGAGAGGTAAATCACTGTGGGGTAGGGGGTGGGACTGGGAAAGACCCAGGCTTCTACCCTGCACCAGGCTCAGCTACTAGTCCAGGCTGGGCTGGGGAGGACAAGACTTCCACTTCCCCTGCACAGCATCTGGGGCCGGGTCAGACCTACCCCCAGATTTCTCCCCCGGCTACAGGAAGCTCTGCAAACTGTCCCCCCTCCTTCTGCGCTTCCTGCACCCATCGCTCCTCAGCTTCAGGGGGAGGGATCCCTGTACAGGGAGCTGCTCTCCCATCCGCCCAATTCCCATGCATCAAGACCCCCTCATACTCAGACCCTCCCGCTGAGCCTTGCCCCTCACACTCAGAACCCACCCTGCTGAGCTCCACTCCCCCTGCACCTGGACCACCCTGATGAGCTATCCGCACCCGGACCCCCACCCCACCGTGCCCCAACCAGCTGCAAGACAGAAGGAAACATAACAGGTTTCATTTATTGTTGACCTCAGGTACAAAGTTTCTCCCTAATTAATTACTATCTGCAAAGTGCTCTGAGATCATTGGATGAAACATACTCTAAGTATAAATTATTATTTATTACAATAATAATATTTTGAGATCAAGTTATTTATTTACGCTAAGGGGAAAAATCACTAAAATTTCAAATATACGTTTTATATACACAGCTTATTTATGTTTTCATAAATTTATTTTTTTAACTTTTTGAAATATTAGTTTTGATTAAAAAAAAAGAATTGACAAAGTACAAGGGACTGTCTTGGGTGGAAACAGAGGGAAGGTATAATGTAGATTAAGTTTTTAGTTAAGTAAAATTATAGTGCTCTCTGTGGGTTCTGTTGCTGCTGGGAGTTGCGGAATTTGCATGTTTAGAGAGATTATTCATGAATAGTACTTTCTTTCTTATTTTCCACAGGTTTCCAACAGTGGCAGTTAGCATTGGATTTGCTGTTAACCAAGAGGTATAAAATGTGTTCTGAGAGTTGGTAACCTGAGATCCAGCTACAAACCTCAGAGCCATGTGGGAACTAAAAAATTAATACAAAGGCTCTTTCCATGCTATTGAAATGTGTTTGGTCACACCACACCAAAATAACACCCTAATCCTGCAAACCTTTACTCCTGTAGGTAGTCCCATGTTAACTGGATTTATATATTATTAAAAAGGGACTACTGATGTAAGAGTTAATAAAGTCAGGCACTAAGAAGTTATGTTTAAATTGTGACTAAGCGTCTCTATATTTATCTTCTACTGTTCTCTTGTTATTATGCTGATTCCTATTGCTTTAAAGCTGTTAGCAACCTCCGTGACTCTCAGACAGTTGTTGATGTACAGTATATAGTAGGTTTCAGAGTAGCAGCCGTGTTAGTCTGTATTCGCAAAAAGAAAAGGAGGACTTGTGGCACCTTAGAGACTAACAAATTTATTTGAGCATAAGCTTTCGTGAGCATCCGATGAAGTGAGCTGCAGCTCACGAAAGCTTATGCTCAAATAAATTTGTTAGTCTCTAAGGTGCCACAAGTCCTCCTTTTCTTTTTGAGTACATAGTAGGATTACTTTCTGTGATACGTGCAAAGTTATGGTTTGGATTCCCTTAATCTACCTTTGTGTGCTTTTGAGGTGCAGTAAATTTAATATTATTCCATGTACCTTCATAATAGGCTGTCCATAGAAAAACAAAGAACCTGGCCTTGGTGCTTGGGAATACTGTTCTTTTTAAGTTTCCTAGTTCTCACCATTCATTTCGGAGATGTTTGTACAGCTACTGTAGTTTTTACAGTTTGATTTATAAAATAAAAGTAGCTATTTTTAAGTAGTTATTCCCACTATTGTAAAATGTGCCTCTTGGGCCTTTGCATTTACATGCATTGACATGCCGTTAGCTCCCATTGAAGCCAACAGGAATTTTATGTGTGCAAGGAATGCAGCATCAGGCAAATTCAGCGATTTGTGTGCAAGGAATGCAGCGATTCAGGCAAATTCAGCGGCCTAATTTTCAGATGTGATGAGGACGAGCAACACCCTTTGGTTTGGACAGTATAGTACTGTATGTGTATCTAGATTGACTGCAGCTTGCCTTTAAAAACATAGCAACTGTAAAGACACGCTTTAGTGCCATTCCAAAGATTATTCCTTCCCAAATGTTTCCAAATATTGCATATAATTACAAAACAGCTTTCTTTAGTATTTATTTATTTTCTATAGCACCCACCATGCTTTAGATGCTGCTAAAACAAAAAACAATCATATTAAATTTCACCATCTATTGTAGTAAAAAAAACAGACAAAAGTAAAATAATAACTCGATAAAGGAGCCAAAATGGGCATAGGTGAACTGACCTGAATAGAAAGATCTAGCCTCAAGTCCTGAATGCTGCTAAAGAGAGATTCTTATGAATATCTTCAGACCTGGAGTTCCATACATAGGGACCCTGAACCGAGAAGAGTCTGGCTCCAGGATGAATAGCAAGGAAAACCCATTCCCTCTGAGCGATCTTTGAGGACTCTTGGGTGAGAGGTGGTCACTCAAGTAGCATGGTTGCAGCAAGGGACTGGGAGTCTAGAAGATCTGAGTCCTATTACTGACTCTTCTACAAACTTCTTCTGTGACTTTGGGCAAGTCACTTAACTTCTCTATGTCTGTTTCCCTATGAGTAAAATGTAGATAATATTTTATCTCATAGTAATGGTGTGAGGATTGATTCATTAATGTATGTAAAGTGTTTTAAGATCTTCTGATGGAAGGTACTATAGTTGTGCAAAATATTAGGTACTTTGGGCCTGGATTATTAAGACTCCAATTGTGAACCCCTTATTCCCATTTGTAAGCAGGTGCTTGCACAAATAGTTCAGTGTTGCCAACTCTCATAATTTTATCATGAGTCTCGTGATATTTGGTGTTTTTCTTCAAGCCCCAGCTCCTGGAGTCAGGTGATTTCACGAGAATCTCAGCATTTTAAAAGATCAGTTAGCTTCTAGCCTTCACGATTGCAGAGAAAAACTCAAAGATGACTTGAGTGCACCTCAAGGGCTCAAAAGATAGAAGGCAAGTGAAATGTACTATGACATGCAAACTATGTATTTTTTTAAAAAACTGCCTGATTTGAAAGCCAATCTCATGTGTTTTGGAGGTCTGAGTCATGAATTTGAGATGCTTGAGGTTGGCAATATTAATAGCCCCAGTGAAGTCAATGGGCCTATTCATGTGAGTGACTGCTCACCAATGGGAGTAAAGTGTTCGGAATCTGGCCCTGGGCGATTTACATATTCTCAATAACTCCTTGAATTGCATTTCAGAGTAACTTTTTATTCCGTTCTAATAGTGTGCGTACGAATGAGCTGTGAATAGATGGAATTAATATCTCTCTTTCTAAACTGAATTTTATATGTTGTGTATCTAAAACGTCAGTGTAACAGTAAAATTATTTATTAGCAGTGGCATAATCTTTGGTTATATAGCTAATTAAAATAATTTTGATCTTTCTGCCATTAGTAGTTGTTTATACTTGTGATGAGTAATTTGAGTTGCATTCATTTCTTTCCTTTTCAAAATCTTAAAGCTTGAATTTGGTGTAATTTACCATTGCACTGAAGAACGATTATATACTGGTAGAAGAGGTCAAGGGGCATTTTGTAATGAAAAAAGACTTCAGGTATCAAAAGAGACAGGTTGGTCTAGATTTTTGTTAGAACTCTAAAATAAATATGTTGAATTTCAGAGTTGATACTAATCCTAAATGGAAATTATTATCCTGATTTAAAATATCTTTCCTGAATTATAACGGTGTTTTTCCTGGAAACATAAGGATGTTCCCAAATTTCTGTTTAAAATATGCAGCTTTATGTGAATTACTATTAAATGGTCCTAAAATATTTTGCAGTTTCCACACGAATTGATCAGTATCTTAAAGGAGTGGTTTTGGATCAATAAAGAAATAGGATTAAATTCACCACTATACTATGCCTTCTGTACACTGGTGTTACTCCTGGGATACAAAGTACAGCTGGAATGGTGAATCAGGCCCACATTATTATGGCATCTGTCATTCACTTATTTTCAGATGACTTGATGCTGCCATATACTGTATCTTGTTTGTAAACACATATGCCAGTAGTAAATGGAATTAATGGATGCATACATTATACTTATTTAAAAACAACGTGCCGTGATGCGTGTGAGAGGTCTGTTTCATCATACAATTAGTTAGAACACTTAATCCATACTGTATTGGGATTTATTACTATAAACCTAATAAAGTGATTCTGCATTTGTCTAGTTATAATAGTTAAGCTCAATCAAATGCACATAAAGACAAGAAGTTTTTTTTAACAAATCCAATGCAGAAGATAAGACAGCATTAATTAGCAGATAGAAGCAAGCAGATGTCACAGAGCTGTATCTTTGTACCCCAGAAATGATAAAAATTACAGCAGAAAAATGGTTTGGTGCAGACTGAAATCATAGTAAATTAAAGCAATTTAATGTACAGATTAGATATGGGTCCAGACCAACCCTGGATGACCAGAACTTCCCTGATAGCTGGAAAAATTTGGATCCAGATCCAGACTTTGTATCTTGGACCAGTCTTTAGTGGGCCAGGTTTATTTATCTGGAGAAAAAGAGTACAAATGGTACACTTCTCCCCCACAGGAGCAGCTGTTCCTGAGGGAGGACATTTACCCCTGAATAGGTGTCCATGGTCGTACCCTAGCCATCCTTCCAAAGGTGTTCTGCCAGGGGAGGGAAGTTTTAAAATGTTTCCCCTGGGCAAAGAATTTCCCAACTGCCCTACATCCTTCATAAACTGGCCCCATTCACTTTTATGTCCAAATGGTGGTGGGCCTTCAGCTGAGCAAGGGCTGTGGGAGACTTTCACCACTTTGTCCCAATTCCCTGTGGACTTTCTGCTAATGTGGGAGTCCAGAACGTAAGGGGAGGGTCAGATCCCATATTGTTTAAGATGCTTTATAATTTTTTTCTCTTTTGAGATGTACTCATTGGGGAGGTGGGGGGGAGGATTTTGAACAGGGAAGATGGAGAATATTTTTATTGATTGTTATGGTGTTTAAATGTAGCCCATTTACAGTTGTTCTTGTCCACTAAAGATTTTAACTTCAATAGAATGAACTACCTCTGGAGTACAAGATATTTTTCCTTGTGCTGGCTTCTGGGATTTGTGGCTTTTAGGCTGCTATGTTACTGCATGCTTTTGTTTCAGAAAATGTATTTTCTATAGAAAATGTTGATGTACAGTATAAAATTAGATTAGTGCTAGCTATGTTCAGCATTTAACAATTCAGAACTAAAGAGAATCACATTTTGGTGATGACAGAATTTTTAAAAGGTTATGTCACAGTAAGAAAACAGAGATGTGGTCTGGGATATCCGCCACTCACGGATTTAAATAATCGTAATGAAGGAACATCCCAAAGATATACAATTCCCTTTGTCAAACGTTGTCACAGTTTAAAGCCAGGCCTGGCCTTAAGTGTGCTGATACCATAAATGACAGGTTTTTTTGTTGGGTGTTTTTTGGTCTCCACTCTGCCCCCTTCAATAATCAAAAATGTTGGTCCGTTGTCTCTTTTCCTCCCACATTTACCCCGGTCACTGTCATCTCTCTTCTACCAACCCTCCCTATTTCTCTTCCTCTCATCAGGGTGGAGAACTTGTCTTCTGGTCAGCTGTCTCCTGTAGTTTGCATTCCTGAAGCCACCTTGTATCTTTTCACTAGATGGTCTCTTCTCTAAGTTCAATTCCACCCTATGCCTTAAGCCCCAACCCTCCTCAAAGCGTTTCAGTCTTTAAATCCAATTACTAAATTAGCATAACTTTGACTAAGTATTAGGAAATGTTTGTTTATTCATCAGGAACACGTTTACAATAGTTTTCACAGTTCCATAGAATAGTTATTTTTGTTATGACCGAGGTGTACTTGGCATGAATGCATGGTGTTAATAATAATGTCTGTAGTAAGGTATGCATTCAGTATGCCATAATTGTAAACATTGAATGTATTATGCAGAAGACCAAAAGCGGATTACTTTCAACCTCCAGAAATTTCCAGTTATGGCAAAGTAATGCATGCCCTACATTGTGTCCCTATAGTTTTAAAGTAGAACTGTGCTTCTATACTTTAATGTAATGTTTTTAAAAATGGTTATGAAGTCTGTGTTTCTGCAGTTATGTTTGTGATATCCTGTGACTGTTTTATTCTCATTACATGTATATTACTCAACCATTTCTAATCGGCTTGCTTGAATCCATAATGCCCTTTTACATTCGTAGGTCGCCAGTACCTGGCATGTCAATTTAATTACAAGATGTCTCAGGCCACATTAATTTGTCTAGGAAATACCACTCGGTAGCACCACACAGCATTTGGTCCACTATCCCTACTTAATGACAGGTTTCAGAGTCGCAGCCGTGTTAGTCTGTATTCGCAAAAAGAAAAGGAGTACTAGTGGCACCTTAGAGACTAACCAATTTATTTGAGCATAAGCTTTTGTGAGCTACAGCTCACTTCATCGGATGCATTCAGTGGAAAATACAGTGGGAAGATTTATATACACAGAGAACATGAAACAATGGGTAAATCATTTGGAAGGAATACTGTATATACTTCTTAAAATAATACATATGTTGTTGGCCTGAATGTGACCTCATCTGATCTAATACCCATTGAACTCAATGTGAATCTTTCCTTTGGCTTTAAGAGTCCTTGGCTTTGATTAGGCCCCTATACTGCTGTAAATCAGAAGTTACTGAATTAAACACAATACAAAAGGAAAAACTAGTGCTGCAAAAATTAATTCAGAATTAGACCTATTGACTTTTTTTATATAGAATAACTGGTAAATATATTGATACTTGCACATTTGTGACTTTTGTAGTCTTTCCAATGTCCCAATGTAAAAGGGGGTAGTTATTGCAAGATAAATGGAGTTTGGTGGATATATTTAATTGATCTTTACTTATCATACACTTACCTCTGTCTAATTAAAATGAATGGTCTTATCCAAGAGATCAAAGTTCCCTGTTCAGGAAGCATTCTGCTTTAAAATACAATTAATTTACAGTGGAATGCATAGATCTTATGTCAGTTACTTTTAGCTGACTGCTAAAAGTTTGTGAGATCACCAAAGGCTGACTGGTCAATGAAGGAAAAATTCCATGGGAACAAAGGAAACACATAGAAACTGCAGTTTTGTTCTTATTCTTCCTTCCCTTCTTTTACCAAACAAGTATTTTTAGATAACCAAACTGTGTGAGCAGTTCAGTCTTGTTACAGTCATTTAGACAAAAGCAGTTTCTCTTCCTGAGAAAGAATATGAAAAGAAGAACATAATGTGGAGAAATTGCCAAGACCTACTTTGAAAGGCTGTTGAGTTAATAGAAACAACTGTCTACATTGCAGATAAGTCGAAGGCCTTGATCTTAACAGAAATTGGTCCAAAACGTGACCCTGAGACTTTGAAATTGTTCCTCGGTAACATGGAGAGCTTACTCAAAGCCCAAGTACATGGGTAAGGTTTTTAAGAAAAAAATTTATTATGTTAAAAATCATAAACATTCTCAACTTTCTAAAATTCCAAGCAGAATGTTATTCTACTTAAATCAAATGTGATGCATATTGTACCCTGTTAATAAATACCTGGGTTGAAATAAAAGCAGTTTTCCCCCTTTCATTCTTTTATACCTCTCTACTTCTAGGATCCGTGTAATTGGAAGTGCTACCTTGGCTCTGTGCCATCTAGCATCTGGTGCTGCAGATGCATATTACCAGTTTGGTTTACATTGCTGGGACTTGGCAGCAGCTACTGTCATTATTAGAGAGGCAGGTGGTATTGTGATAGATACTTCAGGTGAGTAAAGTATGCTGTTTTGGAGCAGGGACTGTGTCTTCATGTTTGGAAAGCACATAATAGGCACTACTACAATCTAAATAATTGTCACACTCAGTTTTTTTTCAATCACCTTTCATAGCCTCTGAGGGGTGAGGCAGATAAATGTTCAGATGGTTAGCCTTTCTAGTTTGGGCTGTCGTCTTCTTTTTTACTTCCCCATCTCTGTCTAATCTATCTGTGTACTTACACGGTCCTCATTTCAATACTATCTGAATATCTCCCTTGAAACAGAAATAATTATAATCTCTCTCTTCCTTCCCCATTGGTGAAAAGGAGAAAAGGCTTGATTTGTATATGGGTTTTGTGTGTGTATGTGAGAAGAAGAGAAAAGGTTTTGTGTGTGTATGTGAGAAGAAACTGAGGGAAAACTAAGATGAATAATTGGGTTTTGCATTTAGTTTTGAAAGTGGAGGATCAGTACAGTCAAGTCTGGATCTGATAGGATGCGGTATGATTTTCTGGCCAGCTGGAGATAGAGGGTGGTGGGTTTTCCATCAGCACTTTAAGAGCTGCGAGGCTGAGGACCAACATAAAAACAAGAGTAGATGTTCTTGAGTGGGGGTGTTATAGAGAAGACTAGTTTTATAGAGCAGTTCTGTCTTCCTACCAGCATCACTGAAGCCTTTCCTGGGTTCAGTTTTTGCTATCTGATCTTCATCTAGAAGGTAATTTCAGTTAGATATTCAGAAAGCTGATAGATAGTGATCTTTATGCTTGGTGTAAAGGAACAATGGAGTTGGGTGTTGCCTACATTTCAGTCTATGTTATCTTGCCAATGCTCCCAATGTTTACTCATAGATGCTGAATAATATGGGAGTGGAACTGAGTTTGCGTTTATAGCTGAGAGATTAGGACAGGAGTGGGCAAACTTTTTGGCCCAAGGGCCACATCAGGGTGCGAAATTGTATGGAGGGCCAGGTAGGGAAGGCTGTGCCTCCCCAAACAGCCTGGCCCCCTCCCACTTCCCCGCTCCCTGACTGCCCCCTCAGAATCCCCAACGCTCCCTGCTCCCTGTCCCCTGACTGCCCTAACCCCTATCCACACCCCTACCCCCTGCCAGGCCCCCCTGGGATTCCCATGCCTATCCAACCTTCCCTGTCCCCTGACCAGCCCCCCAAGAACCTCCACCCCATCCAACTTCCCCCTGTCTCCTCACTGCCCCCCAGGACTCCCTGCCCCTTATCCAACCCCCCGCCCCCTTACCATGCAGCTCAGAGCAGCAGGATCTCGTAGCCCTGCCACCTGGCCGGAGCCAGCTGCACTGCCCACGTGGCGGTGTGGCTAAAGGGGAGGGGGAACAGTAGGGGAGGGGCCGGGGACTAGCCTCTCTGACCAGGAGCTCAAGGGCCGGGCAGGATGGTCCCGGGGGCCAGATGTAGTTTGCCCACCTCTGGATTAGGAGGTAGAGGAACAGTTACCCATAGTGATCCTCTGGCTTTGTTCTGAGAGGAGGGATCTAAGCCAATTCAAAGCATTTCTGTTCATTCCTTTAGCTCCTAGAGGCAAGACAGGTATATTTATCAGTAGTATCAAATGCCTCAGACAAGCCCAGTAAAATGGGCATGGACCGGAGAAGGTAATCCACCTGAGCAACACATGCTGTCTCAGTATTATACTCCCTGCCCTCACACCTCACTTAGAGGGATCCATGATTCTGACAGATAACAAGTGGAGTTGGAGATGCCTTTTTGCCAGCTCTCTCATAGTCTGCTTGGAAAAGGAAGCTTAGATGCTGAGCAGTAGCCTCCAAGTTCTCTGGAATTGCATGATAGTTTTTAAATTCTGGTTGGACTATTGCATGTTTGGGAGTGGATGGTAGAGTCCCCTCAAAAGGAGATATTAACAGCCTGTTGCCAGGGTTTCTTCCCGGCGTTCTCTTTTCTTTACCATCCAGGAATGGCGGGGGAAAGAGTCACAAGGGGGTGAGGGGCCCGGCCCTGATTATGACTGTGTCAGTCTACTATAATTACTATTGGCATGAAGAGGCAGAATTCTTGGGAAGAGGACTCTGTTTCTAGTCCTGTTCTTACCTTCTTGTTCTTGATGGCCTCTGAGGGTATTCTGCACAACTGTGATCTAATTCCGTGCAGTGGGAGGTGCTGTGTTCTGGAATTGGGTGGAGACCTATGGGTATATGTAGAGATTCACAATCTAGAAAAATTCTGCAAGGTGTGACTTTGCTATCTCTGTGGTAGAGGAGAGCAGAGGTAAACTCTTTGCCTCCCTTAAAGAAGGCTGGGTTTACAGAAAAACTTTGCTCCTTAGTCTCCCTGTGTTTTCTGCCACCAACACCAAGTTTTCTTCCTTCCTGCATTTTCTGCCATGGGTTGCTTGAGAACCTTGGCAATCTGTGTGGGCAGTGGGATGAGAGGGGCCCTTTGGTGCTAGAGTGTCTATAACAGTACTCCGTGAGAGATTGTAGTGCCTCACTGATTCTTCTATCCCTTTGTCTCTTGGCTGCATAGTTTTCTATGAGTAAATTTTGGAGTTTGGCTCCGTCCAAGGTTATTCTGGGGTGGACCATGGTGGTGCTTCTACTTGCTTTGCACTGGGGAGAGCTTTAATTTCCTCTGCTGCTGTTACAATTACAGTGCCTGGTAAGCAATAGGTTAAGATAAGCTGTCTGATCCAAAGGCACTAGCAATGCAACTTCAATAAGTCAGTCATTAGAGAGACATTCTAATAGAAATGCAGCTAACAAACTCATTTCCTATATCAGAATATTGCTTCCATGGACATTCCCCTCCTCCCTCCCCCACAGTGGAAGTAGGAGTCCTCCAATGGTTCTTCCCATTCCGTTGTCCTTTCCAGGAGTACAGGTTTCCCGCAATTTTGAGTGACTTTTTTTGAACGTTGTCCCTTGGTAGCTATTTATGGGCTGCTTTTATAGCTTCAATATCTTTGTATTCTTTTCTCTTTCCCTCCCAGCCCCATACAGGTCCTTCGCTTATAGTGATAATCCAGTGAAACATCTCAGGTCTGGCCCACTCGGCCCTGGGCTCTGGCTGGCTAGTTTCATCACAGTTTTGCATTTCCAGTCTAGGGCTTTCCCGGGTCAGAGATGCTGAGAATGAATGTCTGTGTCTTTGAGTAAGCCCTTTAAAGTGTCACATTTGAAGTACACAGCTGGCCCAGCAGAGATTATGGTGAGACTCCTAAACAGATTTCAGCAAAGATGGAGGCTTCTTGGAAAGAAAGGGCTGTCAGGGAGAGACGAATGTGCTCATCTGAATATTTATATTTATAGAGCACTTTGAAGATGTAACGACCCAGAATGTTAAGGATTATTATTTTATTCATTTCTGGAGCTCACATCCCCCAAGTAGAGTGTTCTTTAGTAGTCAAGCCCAGTGATGATCAAAGTGTGCATGACTGTGGAAAGACTTGATGTGTTAAAGAACAGTTTCCAATGGTAGGGTATGTTTAACCCTTAAAATGGGTTATGTTTGTTCCTATTTTATTCCTTACTACACCTAGTTTTGCAAACAAAACATCTGATGTTTTGTTTAAGAGAGTAAAATGGAATATATTGTGTTTATTTTTGTGTACTGAACGAATGAAAACATTAATTGCTTTTTCTGTGTACTTTGGTTTTTGATAAGTCTATGGTTTCTACAACACTTTGCTTCGCGAGACATCTCTGAATTTGAATGCCTCAACAGGGTATTTCCTCCCCTAAATGTGGCTTTGACGTTGTTTCAGTATTTTTGAATCTCTCTATCTACAACAAGGATATAATATAATATGCCACACATCACTTCTGTATCTAAACATGGTTCTTCTTTATCCTCTTGTTCTTAGGGGGACCTCTAGATCTCATGTCATGCCGAGTGATTGCTGCTGGCACTAAAGAGATGGCCATGTTCTTAGCTCAGGAAATACAGACTATTCACTACAGACGGGATGATGAGAACTGACGGACATTAAATACTTTTACAAGTAACATGGAGTTTGTCCTTCTAAACTACTTAACTTCTTCCAAGATGGGTGTCTTAGAGGGTACATGATTTTAACAGCATGTTTTCTGTGCAGGTCTTCTGTGTCAAATGTTTTAAACAATTTTATTACAAGGTGGCTTCCCAACATTGTAGGGCGGGAGGAGGGAGATTTTTAAAACCTCTAAGATTTGTGGCTTCTTTTTAATATGCATCTATTTCAGCAGTACCTTTTATATATGATCACCTGTAGCGCTTGTTGCCAGATTCAAAGTTTCACATCTGTTCAGGCTGAAACGGAGTCTTTTGGAACATATTCAACTAAAAAGAAAACTTTATTTTTACAAAACACAGACCTCAGGTAAATGAGCTTTAGGATTGTAGTAGATGATAAGTAGTTAAAATGTGTGCCTACCGTACCCATATTCAACAGTACTTGAGAATGCAATAAAAAGTGTTATTACTCCATTTCTGTTTTCTAACTATATCATGACCATATATATGTATATTTTGGATGTTTACAGTGATTTACAAAGTGTACAGAAGGAGGTGATTTTAGGTATTTGTTTCAAGGAAGAGTATATATTCACTTTATGAATGCAGTGGGAGTTACCTACATGGTTAATAACAGAGCTGCTAAAAAAAAAAGGGAAATATTTCATGATTTTTTTTTCAAATTGTCCAACCAACTCTAGCTTATAGAGAATGTTAACCAATTGGGGCCAAATCTTACAGTCCTTACTGAACCCTTACTGAGAGCTCAAACCTGCAAACATTTACTATCATGGAGTAGCTGTGACTAGTGGGCAGAGTGCTTACTACCATGAGTATTGAAGTCTATGGGGACTATTCACAATGGTAAATACTATACATGGTAGTTAGTTCTGGAGAATAGGGCCCAATGTCAAGGAACTATTGACTTCAGTGGAAGTTTTGCCCAAGAAGAAACTGCAGGATTTGATGTTAAGGGGTAAATTGTAAAAATTGCCACCTTAGTTGTGCTTGCAAAAGGCTAATTATAAACGTAAAGTATTCATTTTGCACGTACAATTGTAGTCATCTTCAGAATATCTGGAAACCTTGTAAAGTAAATGACTAAATCTAAAAGAACAAAAATTCTGTGCAACTCTAGTTTTGTGTTTGGCACTTTTTTTAAAATCAAGTTCATTTTTTCGCCTTCCTCTGTAGCATGGGGCACGGGTCACTTGCTGGAGGATTCTCTGCTCCTTGAAGTCTTTAAACCACGATTTGAGGACTTCAATAGCACAGACATAGGTGAGACTTTTCTGCAGGAGTGGTGGGTAAAATTCTATGGCCTGCGTTGTGCAGGGGGTCGGACTGGATGATCATAATGGTCTCTTCTGACCTAAATATCTATGAATCTATTATACTTACTATTTTTTTAAAAGAAATCATATCATCTGACACTACTGAACTTCTTAAATGTTAGTGTCCAGAAAAGAATCTGAGATTAAACATGGGGACTTACCTCTAGTTTTTCTATTGATGTTACGAATTCAAATCTACAATTATTTTTGAATAATACAAAGAAACAAAAAGGCCCACAAAATACACACAGGTCTAAATTTTCAAAATCTGTTCCTAAATTGCACATGCAGACTATGTAAATGTGCACGTAAACTGCGATGAGAAACTGGAAATTGAGTGTACAGTTATCCATTTTGCATGCACATCTAAAGAACACATTGTTAAAAATATTAGCCATTGTACGTGCCTTTTTATTTTCTTCTGTGAAAAATGTTTTTCATTACGAGTATAACTTGTATACTGTATTTTTTTAAAATGAGAAATGCAAAATTCTGGCTGTGGAGAGAATGGCTAAAATATAGGGCCCTGATTTAGCAAAGCATTTAAGCACATGCTTAAGTCTCATTGGCCCTGATTCTCCTCTCCATCAAAGCACACCTCAGACGCAGAGGACAATGACAGATTCAGGAAGCTGGCTGTAATTCCCTGATCTCTGGCCACTTAGCCAGGGCAGAAGACAGAGTAGGCCCCCTGCTGCTCTAGCTTCTGCCACTGATTGATGTAAGCTCTGTAAATGAGCTTACACCTGCAGGGAATCAGAGGTAGTGGAGTTCAACAAGCTTCCTTCTTTTCCTTATGCCAGAGAGAGAGCTGGTTTGAGAGGTGTCGATACCACCTCTACCAGCTTTACATCAGTAGAGATTCCTTGTACACAGGAAGACTCTCTGGCTGGTTTAAATTCACTCTGCACCACTTACATGATGCACTTAATGGATGAAAGAATCCTGTCCACTGATTTTCATGGCATTTGAGCACACTTAAGTGCTTTGCTGAATTGGGGCCTCAGTGAGGTGGGAAGGGGAATGTCCAGAAATCCAGTCTCAGATTCACCTGTTACTGTCTTGGATAAAACATTATTTTTAAAAAATAAATAGAGAGCTTGTTCTGAGAGTTGATGAGCGCCTCAGACTCCTACTGATGTTAGTGGAGTCGCAGCTGATCAGTAGCTTAAGGAGAAGGCCCAGAGTTTGCAGTGCCATTGGCCACAGTGATTCCCACATTTTACTTAGAATTATTAATTAGCTGACAGTTCTTAGAGGTAAATCCTGTCCTCGATTTTGACTTTCCCTTCCATCTTTCCTTGCTTGCTAGCTAAAGCTCTCTTTTGTAGGCATATTCCTTACTGTAGACTTTCCATTCTAAGGTTTAAATTAATACCGTGTGTATAGCATGGGAGCCAAATCTGTTCGTGTTTAATTAGGGCTCTTTTTTTCCTTCAATAAAATAAGGTTGATAGCTACTCTTTAACCAGCAGTTATAAAATTAGTATTTTTAAAACAATGAAGATGTGAAAGGTTACAATCCATTTCACATGCTTTGGATTGTTTTTACAACACGTTTCAGGCGTTACATTATTTTGGAGGCCAGTTTCTGAAACCAGAGGCAATATTTAAATATGAACAAAGATGATAAGTTATAAATGTTGAGAACAAGTGTTTCCTATCCTGAATGTCATAACCTGTGCTGGCATTTTTTCCATGTTCGTATCCCAGTGAATGTTGGTGGAGATTTCAGAAGAGAGTAAGGAGAAGCCATGGGCATCTCTGATACACCAAAGGATATTTTTTTGTGGTGTCATACTCTTGTGTCCCTAGTGTATTCAGGATGAAAAATAGTTTGTTTTACAAGCAAATAATCTAATCATTTTAATTACAGGACAGTCATTTGTAAATGTATTTAAGAATGTACTTTTAGGGGTTGAAGATGCTTTTTTCATTTCCACCCAGAAAATTTATATAAATGTATTCATCTTTTTTTTTGCGTTATCAGAATGTGGCTGCAATTGGATCTATGCAGGCAGATTCTGCACCTTTGCAGAGCCTTATTGAAATCATGGGTTTGCCTGCATGAATCAGGCCTACGTGTTTTTCCAGCTGTTGGAAAAAAATTCAAAAATGCTTGTTTTGTGCTTGGATAACTCAAAAACAACTGTTTTAAATCTCTAGGCTTTATAGTATTTAATCTGAAATGAAAACTAGTGCCTTTGCCATATAAAAATAATGTGGTTTTGAAAAAAACAAAATCATGGGCATTTTAAAACAGTATATGGCATGTGCATAGAACACTCAGTTCTATTTGTAGAAACATAAAGGAAGCTAGTATGTGTCAAACGTCTGTAGTTATGAATATCTTAGACCACGTGTGTGTAACTGGGTGACTAGATCTTTATTTACACTGCAAGTGTGTATATGCTCTGAATAGATGATATCTTTTATTCAAGGGAGTGCTGCTCAGCATCCTATTCCTTTACTTTTCAGTCTGTCACCTGCACAATGGTTTAGAACATTTTAAATCTACTGTTTTGGTATAATAATCTGAAATAATAATGTACAATTCATGTATAAGTGCATTCTGGTCGTGAACAAACTAACTACGGGAATAACAGTAAACTGCAGATAAAGTAAAGTCTTCCATTACATGATCACACAGCATAGGCAAATGTGATATACTGTTCACCAAATACTAAGTAACATAGAAAGGAACTCCATCTTTTTCTATAAGATTTAGCACATATAACAATAGCACTATGTATCTCTGACATGTGGCATACTAATGTACAGCTTTTACACATCCCCAGGTTTTGATCTGTAACGTGTTACAGACACCACAGTTTGCATGCACTGGTAATGTCAAGACTCTAATACACTACACCCTATTGAATTGGTTACATATTTAAAATTTTCCTTGAAATTGCCATTGTCCTTATAAGGAGGTGGGGCAGAAAAGCCAATAAATGCTCAAGTTTTCAATAACATATCCCTTAAAATCATCCCATCCCAGTCCACTGCAGTCAAGGAATTGCACCTGTTTACAACAGAGCATTTTTAGCCCTAGAAATACTACTGAGGTAAAACATTCATGATACTACAGAGGGAGTGTCTCTTATCGCTGAACAGTTACTTCAGATTTAGAGTGTGCAGTGCCCAGTTTACTCCAAAAGGAATACTGTCCACTTCTTAGGAGAGGCCACTGACAGTTGATAAGATCAAGATCATCATTAATGGAAACATATATCAGCAGCTGTTACAAAAATATTGTTCACTTATTTTCCTGCACTCTGTCAGTGCTGTGTATAACACTTAATGGGGTAATGTAAATCCAGTTAGTAACTCTCAGTTTGAAATTATTTTAAATGTTTTTGTAACAATCTATTTTTCAATGAGAAAAGGATTATAATCTGCATTAAACATACGGTAGACAGAAATTGAGAGAGAGAGTCTATTTCTCTGCTTTATGAACTCTACGTGCAAAAACATGGAAATTTAGACATACACAAGGTTAAGTGGTTGTGGGTTTGGTGTGGGTTGTTTGTTTGTGAATGGCTTTGCTGGCAGCCAAATATCTTAGAAAAATTCAAAGAAGGATTAGTTATTGGAAAGAAGAGAGCACATTCAGACACACAGGCTAGGATAAAAATGTATAAGGGCTGTAGACAGAGCCTCATGCTTCAAGGTACAAGATGATTACCATCCTGAATGCTAAAATTGTCAGGATTAAAAAGTAAATAGTATTGAACTGCACAGAGTGAATTTAGGGGGAAGAGTTTACACTTTATTCCTCTAAAACTTCAAGTATTGACCTCCATCATAGACAAGATATCACAGTATCTGGACCACTGATGTGTTCTTATTTGAGTGAGGAAAACATTGAATTGTGAAACCCTCTCTGAGTAACACTTGAGCCCTGGTGCTTCCAACAGACAAAAGCTGTAAGAGTACCATTGTCTCTCCTAAATAATCAAAGGTGTTAATAAACCCCTAATCACGGAGGGTAAAATTTTCAAAAGTGCCTTAATGACTCTGGAGTCTAAGTCCCGTTGACTTTGAATAGGACTTAGGCACCTAATTGATGTAGGCACTTCTGAACATTTTACCCTGAATGTTTACCTAGCTCTTGTTTGTTTAACACAAAAAAGTACA